TCTACTCTTGATTTCTTCTTGTTGATGGTTCTCCAACATAGAAGCTTGCATCTGTCTTTCTTTTCTTCTGTCTCGTCACCTCTTGTCTGATCATCTCTAGTTTGATATTGTAGACTGACAGTTTTTTCTTTGCAGAGAGCAAACTCAATGTTTGACTTCTGCATCCATTCAAGAGCAAATCTCTCTTCTTATCGGATGAAGTCGTAGGCAAGGAAGAGAATGTTGATTGGTGAAAATCTACTTGTTCTCCACCTCATCATTCTTTGAAACTCTCTATCCAGAGCTCCCTTGTAGGTGTTGAAGAGGATCATAGATTCGATTTCAGCAGAAGTTTCTTCTGCTGTGGTGGGTCTATGTTGGTTTGGAGGTCCGCGAGAAAGTTCTAGAGAGATATTCTTAGATGAGTTAGCCATTTCGAGGGAAGGAGAGGTTTTGAAGGAAGGTTTGTAGAAGAATAGATGCAAGATTTTGAGATGATCTATTACATGCTCGAGAAGAGGATTTATATCCAATTTGTTCAGATCATCTCTTCATCTTTCGAGATTTGTTTAAGAGGTTGAGACATCGTTGCTTTAATGTTTTTAGCGGCGAGTTTCTCTTTTCAAGAGAAAGTATGAGAATTTTCATTAAATGGTATTGATGACCATCATTAATGAAGCCACTGAGTAGGTTTACTTGGATCAACACGTGTCTCTCTTGCATGTTGCATGTATCATAAATCCTCTTCTATATTGATGAAGTCTGACACTCCCTTTTGCATGCCTTGTGAAAATCCCGACAAGGAGATACTTCGATAAACAAGTGAAAATCCGGTCGATCGAAGTAGGTGACTTGGTCCTGAAGAAGCGGGAAAAGAGTAAACCTCTCGAGGGAGGAAAGATGGCACAAAATTGGGAAGGCCCTTACGAGGTCTGCAAAAAATATGCTTCAGGAACGTTCGGTCTGCAATCTACCGAGGGCCGACCGGCGGGGACTTGGAATGTAGAGCATCTGAGGAAATTTTTATCAATAGAACGGTTGTTGCCACCTCTTCAAAAAAAAAGATATGAGAGGGAGACATAACTTCCAGAGAGCCTCACCTCAGCTTTTAACATGTATAGTCACTCCGGATGACCGAATGACGAACGTGTTAACAGTTTGGAGGGAGCCACCATCTCAGCTAAAAGAATTTGACCTTGTGATCACGAACGAATAGAGGGATCAAAACGGCTTGGAGGGAATCACCTCAGCTAAAAGATTTTGACCCTGTGATCATGAACGGTAAAGGGATCAGAACGGCTTGGAGATGGTGTTTAAACAGCAGGTATTGTCATGCCGAGCGACGTTCGGTAACATGGATTGTCGTCCGGGGAGACATTACTTCCAGAGAGTCTCATCTCAGGTTTTTTCACGTAGAATCATTCCGGATGACCGAACAACGAACATGTTAACAGTTTGGAGGGAGCCATCATTTCAGCTAATAGCATTTGACCCTGTGATCACCAACGAATGAAGGGATCAAAGCGGCTTGGAGGGAATCACCTCAGCTAATAGACTTTGACCTTGTGATCATGAACGGTAAAGGGATCAAAACGGCTTGGAGATGGTGTTAAAACCATAAGTATGGACGAGCTGAGCGACGTTTGGTAACATGGATTGTCGTCCGGGGGATCGGAACTATGGTTTTAGAAATCTCGCCTCAGTCATTAACTTTATTTGGAAGTGAGTCGCCATTTCAGCTTAAGTAGGAAGTCACCCGATCCGGTGATCTTGCTTACAGTTTGAAAGTGGTCACCTCAAACCCTTAATAGGGATGATACGAATCAAAGGAAACTATTCGGAATGCATTGGAATTATGGGTTTGGGAGGGAGAGAGTCTCACCTCAGCTTTTAACACGTAGAATCATTCCGGCTGACCGAATGACGAACGTGTTAAAAGTTTGGAGGGAGACATCATTTCAGCTAGCAGAATTTGACTCGATCAAAATGGCTTGGAGATGATGTCAAAACTATAAGTGTGGACGAACCTGAGTCGCGTCCGGTAACCATAAAGATGGAGGAAGTGGGAGTTCGGCTTTGAAAGAAAAAGAAAAAAGAAGGAAAGAAAGAGAAAGAAAGGCATTGAAATGACAAGATTATGTATAAAATTGAGCTTTATTCTTCGGCACTACTGGCCGGAAAGTACAAGGAAAATAAAGGAGACTGGGATTACAAGAAAACATAAAGAATGATCGCCGTTCGGGGAGGTACGAGGTTGGGAGCTGTCTGCTTGTGCTGCATCATCAGAAGCTGCTTTATGTCTCATCTCCATAACCCGATCATATGTGTTCCCGAACAGGTCATCAAATCCCAACTCATCAGGATCGAACGGCTTGGGGAAGTGTTCCATGATCAGGTCGAGATTCCTATCTAGAAGCAGATCTTGACTTTGCTTCACAGTCTTCTCCGTCAGGACATCCAAGAAAGATTTCCCTTCGGGTGTGCTATCTAGAAGCTTTATCCCCGACTTGATCGGGTCCTCGCTCTCACGCAAGAATTGGCCAAGATGAGGTCCCAAAAATTGTCGAGCGGTGTTCTGTAAAGCGATATCCAATCCTTTACTGCGTTGATAATTGATCAAGGCCTGGTTGGTGATCTTGGAGGTGTTGGTAGTATAAGGCTCGGGAGGATTATCTCCCTCTGATTTATCAAACCGCATCCCAGCGGATTCAGCCACTCTCACCTTGGCTCTGAGTTCTCTAATCTCCCGATCTCGACGACGGTCCCTCTCCTCCATTTCAGCCAGATCAACCTTTGCTTTCTCACCCTGATCAACACGAACTTGCAAATCTGCAGCTAGTTTTCGGGCGGCGGAAAGGAGGACCTGGCTATCTTCCCGATCACTGGCTATACGCTTCATCTCCTGTTCAGCAGCCAGGAAGGCCGAGTGATAGTATACTCCGGCCTACAAATGGTAACAAATGAAATCAGATAACATATACTAAATCAGAAGAGAATCAAGGATAAAGGGGTTGAGGATTGATCTGTACCTTGAGAGTCTCCAGGTGACCTGCCTCGACCAGGTCAGACCAATGGGTCAGAGTAGAAAAACTGGGTGGAACCTTCAGGGAGGTACTGCACCACATAGAAGACGGCATCTGCCCGAACAGGTACCTTCCCTCTGCTTGGGGCCCCAAATTGGAAAACTCCACGAACATCCGATCGTTGACCGGTGTATTGTTAAGAACTGAAGTTTGGGGTTGGGCAGGGATGATAGGTCTTTTCAGCTTGTCATCCGGACCGGTCAAATCAACCACGTGATCGACCAGGATTAGTGTACTGCCATCATTCCCTCTACGTTTCTTCCGGGTTTATTCAGCAGACGCATGATCGGCAACCATCTTCTCCTTGCCTTTTCCTGAGGAGGCAGTCGGGGTTGCGGCAGATATGGAACGCCGAACGGGTATAAGGGATATCACACCTACAAAAGAGGGAATAAAAAATAAGAAACTGAATTGAAAGGAGATCGATCGGGTTAAAAGTAAATAAACTTACCGATCCCAGCAGCCAACATTTTGGAGGGGTTAATAAAACCCCGAAGGCTCCGAGATCGTCCTAGATGCAATGATTCGGCTTGAGAACGCAGAACGGCATCTAGTCTGGGCTTCGAATCCCGAACAGGATACGCTTTCCACCGATCAGGGAATGGGAGTGAATCACCTATACGAACGAAGAGGAACCGTTCCTCCCAATCAGCCGGCGGAGTAGGGTTATCCGTGAACAACTGGCTGTCAGCCCGGGCCACCAACTTCAAGTACCCAGTGGTCCAATAGGGTTGATAGCAATAATGGTACAGGAATAGATCGACACTTGGTGTGATCCTCAGTTCTCGACATCTAATTATAAAGCCAGACAGAATGTGGTAAGTACTGGGTATGAACTGAGCAGGAAGTACGGAGACCTGGCGCAAGAACTCAACAACGAATGGATGTAGAGGGAAGCGGAGCCCAGCAATCAAGGAATCAAGGTGCACAAGCACGTGCCCCGGTCGGTGCCTCATAGGATGCCTGATGAATCTAGCATAAAATTCCCTAGGCGGGGGCAGAAGTTGGTGAAGTTGCCATTCGGCGTCCTCAGGAAGACGTTGCTTTTGTTTTCGGATGCGGGTGAAGTGAAAAGGAATGCAAGGTGGCCGTTCGGGCATTCCCTTGTTATAGATCTTTACATCATCCCGCGAAAGACATCCGTCATCGAGAGTCTATTCGCCATCTTTTTGTACTAAAGAATTGGTGGAGTTAGGTACTTGGGAAGAAGAGCCCTCGGCCTTGTTTACAGCAGGAGTTTTTCCTCTACGAATAAGCGGCATTTCTTCAGACTCTGAGCTAGAAGAGAAGAACATAAAAGAGCACTTAGTAATTCAAGGACGCCTGAGAATTCTAGAGAGAGAAAGCTTAGAGAGACGCAAGAAGAAATTAAGGAAGCAATAGAGAAAATGAAAAAGAAGCACCCCTATTTATAAGCGAAGATGCCGCCCAAAACCCTAACCCACGAAGAACACGTGGCAAAATGTGGTTGCACGAAATTATGGCACATTTATGGTAGTTTAGCACGTTCCCCGAACGATTAATGGGTAATTCATGAAGAACGGTTTAACAGTTTTGGGGAAGTCATCTTAAAGACATCGAATGATGAACGTATCAAGAGGCATCCCGGACCAAGGTCGACATAAGCCGTAAGTTTGAAACAAGTATCTTTAGATAGCCCGAACGGGTAGTATTTAAAGAACAACAGATAAAGATCAGCGGGATGGGAAAAGTTCAGAATGTGAGCGACAGTCAGAAGATAGGGGCAGCAAACAAACCGAACAGGGTTTCTACTAATAGTTATGTGGGATATATAGGAAACCAGAAACAAAAAATTCAGAAAACGACTAAGTTCTACAGAACTATCTGAAGCCCGAACGGCGGAATAAAGGATGATAAAAAAAATCAGAAAACGACCGTCTTACAGAACCATCTGAAACCAGAACGACAATCCAAATGGCAGTAAACACAAAACAAAGGGCCAAGTCCTGGTGAATTCACGAGAGCCCGAACGGCAATACAAGGGTGATAACGAAACTGAGAAAGTAGGGAAACTGCTAAGTCCTATAAAGCGGACCGATCCCTGAATGGTAAAGCAAAAAATCAATAAAGACAACAAAGACGATAAGTAAAGCATTGAGCAAAAAAGATGTCATATATATTCATCGGCTCTACCGGCCGGAAAGTACAAAGGTGATTTGCAAAAAAAGGAAAAGGGGGAAGGAATTACAAATTACTAGTATTCAAAATCTAATCTACTGACCAGCGGCCTTTTTGTCCCCCTCCTCTTCATCATCCTCCCCATCATCATCTGAGTCAGTTGGGGGTTCAGGATCTCTCCCCGCTTCTCGATCAACAGCCCGTTACAGATCCCGCTGGTACTTCTCAAACTGAGCCTCAACGATAGGGGCTGAGGGGAGATCAGCAAGCTCGACCGGCCTCCCTAGCATCTCTTGAAGCTTGACCACGAAGGGGGCCATGATATGATGGCAGCCCATCACATAGAGCGATCTGGCCAGGGAGTCATTGAATTGTTTACCTCGAGGATCCCGATCGAGCAAATTAACCCCTTCTCTGCGGCGAGTGTCACCTGTGGGGAACTGGTCGAGATAAGCACCAAAGGTGGTCGGGAGTTCCCGCTGCGCATAATCCTTTTTTAGGGCAGTAAACTCCTCAGAACCTTTAAATGCCTCCCGGACGGCATAAAGATCAACATTTACCTCAGCAGGGCCGTCCGGGATACGGGGAGCGTTTTCTTCAAATTTCACCAAAGTTGTTTCGGCAGCATCAACTTTGGCTTAAGAGGCCCCGAGCTGGACCCTAAGTTCACCACGCTCAGACTCGAGCCGGTGCTTTTCCTCTGCAGAGGCTTTTCGTTCGACCTCCAAAGTGGCAAGAGCAGCAGCCATATTCTGCTCCGCGGAGGTCTGAGCGACGATCAGGTCCCGCTCTTTAGCCAGCCGGGCCTCCCTCAGTCGTAGGCTATAGAGCCCAACCTACAGAATGTCGTTCGAGAAGTAAGATAGTGTAGAACAGATTTTAAACTATGAGAAACTATGAGGAAAAAATGAGATACCTTCAAAGCTGCCAAAGCCATGCATTCTTCACACTGCTCGATCGACATCTTAGGAACGGCAAAATTGTTGAACCACGAAGAAGTGGACCAAATCTGGCTTGCAGGGGAACCAGCCTTTTCCAACATTTCATGAACTGGATCTGCCAGAGAGATCCGTTCGACCTGTGTAGAAAGGTGGACGGTATCGGTGTCACCTGCAGTCATGTTGGCATCCTGAGCAACCTGGAAGTGCTCATAGAATTGATGTAGCTGATCGGATCGGAACCGATCGCCGATCAGCATCTCTTCATAATGGTCCTGATGAGGGACCTGTTGAATGGGTTGTGGCTCTGGAACAGGTCGAGAGGAGCCGGCATCTTGAACAACAGTAGTGGAGGGATTAGGCTTGGGGTTTTTCTTAGCTTTCTTCCTTTTCCCACTCCACCAGCAACAAGAACGCGACTATCGTTCATGACAGTATCTGGGTTGGGAGCTGAAAAATAACAAAAGGAAAGTGTTGGTACCGAGCGGCCTTACCACGTGGGAAACAAAAAAAGAAAGAGAACGTTTCTCGCACGGGAAGGACCGCCCGGCCCATGGTACTTGGTTCTTAAAAAAGTAGACCCAAGAGAGCGGGCAGTACCTATCCCGGCTTTGATTAGTCGATCGGGGGTCAAATATCCCATGATGTCACAAGATTTGTCCTTTTCTATTGCAAATACATCCTTGCAGACTTGTTCGGTGAGAAGCAGATCAGGAGTTTTGCGAGGAAATGCATTCCACTTGTTCGAGATCAGGCCGTCCAGGACAGAGACGAAAAAGAACCGGTCCTTCCACCCCTTGATCAAAGTAGGGTTACCCTTAAATAAGATATGACCCGTTCGGGCAGTTGCAACCAGGTAACCATGTGTCTGCTGGGGAGCCACCTTGAAAAATTGATGGAACAGCTCTAGAGTGGGAGTAATACCAGCATCTTCGCAGCGACAGATGAAGCCCGCTATCACCCGATACGAGTTCGGCATGACTTGGGCCGGTACTATATCGTAAGAATTAAGGAAGGAGACGAAGAAGGGGTGAAGGGGAAATCTAAGCCCGGCTTTCACCGAGTCGAAATGGACTACCACCATCCCAGGAAGGTGGCGCATTGGGTGAAGCCTAGCCCAAAGACGAAAATCCACCGGGTCCGGAATTAGGGCTGGGATTTGGGCCCTGTTATGGGAGGTCAATTTTTGCCCCCATTCCCTAATTAGCCTCAGGTCCACCTTATGACGAGGAACGTCGCCCGGGAGGCCGGCCGCCATTGAGATAAGTTCATCACCGGACTTCGTGTCGTCGGAATCCTCATCAGTAGAAGAGCTCACAGAAGATTCCTCCGCCTCCTCCCTAGTCTCCGCCGTCGCTTCATTTGAACCACTGGCAAACGGGACGTTTATGACATCCACGACGGCGACATCATGGTCATCCCCTTAGGAAGCCATTTCCGAAGCAGAAAGATGTGATTGAGGTCTCATGCCGACCAGACCGAAGAAAAAGAAGGCTAATTCGAAGGGATGAAGAATACCTGAACACGAAAGCTAGAGAGAAGGCAGGACGAAAGCTCAAAGGACATAAGAATTAGAAACCCCTATCCAAGGATTTTGAGGCCTATTTATAGCCTGACAGACGCCGAATCGATAACCAATCAAAAGAAGACACGTCGCCAGGACTATTTGCAATAACACGTGTCGCATGGAGAGGCAAAGGCCAGTAATCATGACGATTATGGAAAAACCAAACGACAGCTAGGCCTGGGACCGGTTCGGTTCTTACTCAAAATTGGTGGAACCGTTACCAAAATTTTAACTAATGAAATCGGTTCGGTTTTTGTGTAAAAAATCAAGAACCGTTATGGAACCGAACCAATACTAAATGGTTCGGTTCTTAATTTTATCGGTTCCTCGAATAATTTTTTCCTCATCTAATAAATGGGCACATTATTTGCTTTCTACCACATTAAAATGTTAAAAAGAAAATCAAACACAAGAATTAAAATTTTATTTAAAGTTCTAATAACTTCAAACATCAAAGCTTAAACTTAATTAAGTGAACACTTAATGGAATAAAAGAAAGTTTCAATTTTCATTTAATAAGTAGAACATAAAAATCTTAGTTAAGATAGGAAGGTTGTTCATCATCACAGTAGCAAGATATGACGTCCACTCCAAATATTTCAAAAACTTAAAAAATATATTGAGTTTGCATGTATAGTTATAGAATTATCATTGCAGTCTATTTGCTAGTAGTATAATTTACAATAAATCTAATAGTTACAAATATCATTAAGATAGTGAAGTAAAATATATGCAATTAACTACAAGTTAATTGAGTTATTTTATATTTATAAAATATATGTGATTTAACAAAATTTGATTTTGTAAAAATCAGCTTAACGTATTCAATCTCTTGTGCAATATTGATTACTTTTGTTTTCGTTGGTTAAATTAGAATTGTTGGTTAAATATCATTGATTGTACTATTATTGTTATTGTTGATATTATTGTTATTACTATCACTACTATTTTTATTTTTGTTTTTATTTTTTAATAACGGTTCCTTAAAGGTTCCGTGCACATATTTTTTATAGGAACCAGGAACCGAACCGTTAATAACAACTAGGAACCGAACCGTTAACAACTAATACCACATTTGTAGGAACCGAACCGAACCGGGTTATAACGGTTCGGTTCCAACCGGTTCTACGGTTCTCGGTTCCAAAATCCCACCCCTAACGACAGCCGCAAGAAAGGTACTAATCAAGGCCCGGGGAATCAACAAACTCTGGATCCCGATCGCCATTCGGCAGGTAACTTCTACTTCCCAATGCACTCACTACCGTTCGAGACATCGGAAATGGAGGACTCGTGTTGGGATATTGGGCCGCAGGCCCAATACCCGGATCCAAGGCCCAAGATATCCAGTCCGATAGACAGGCCCATCATCCAGAAAATGAACCAGCTCTTGATAAAATATGTACCGAACGAGGTTCGGATCAATTAACATACTTCGGCCAGATCATTAATGGGCCAGATCAATAATGACTCCAGATCAGTATACCGAACGAGGTTCGGCCTAATCAACGGACTTGGGCCAGATCGATGAAGATTCCGGCAGGATCCACTGCCCGTTCGGGCAGCGGGTAGCCAACAAGTGGCAGGGAGCATTTATTGCTAAAAGTATGATGGCAGCTAGTGGGAGCATGGGTTCCAAGTGGCTAGATAAAGCAACCAATCAACATGAAGTACCCCATACCCCCCATTAGTATAAATAGAAGGATTAGTTTCATTGTAAAGGGTTAACATTTTGATACTCAAGCCTAGAATAGCATTATCTCTCTGATTTCTTGTATTAGTTACTATTCCGACATACCGTTCGGGTAGTTTACAGTGTAATAGTCAAATTACTTAGTACAAGTGGGCTTTTTGAGTACTCGTTGATCTCATCTTTTATATTTCTTTTATACGCTGAATTATCGTTCCATTTCCTGATATATCCAAAGTTTGTGTTGGACTTTCGGATCCAAGGGATTAAACCTCAACAAGACATATAAAAACTTTGGCATCATCAAAACTGTTTATTAAAATCTAGGGGTCTAACAGTACTCGCAATAGGCGTTGAGGTTCTTTCCCATTGGGCTTCTGGCGATTGGCGGCTCTTCGAGCATCCGTTTATCCTTGATGGCATCGAAGATTTGGCTCACCGTGAATGCCAAGGGGGTAAGTCCGGTAAACTCCCACCGGGCGTCGTCTGGAGGACCCTGGGTTCCCTAAGGGGCGTAGCCACCGCTCGTCTTCTTCTTTTTTATCACGGGGGCCTCTGCGGTCCCGGCCCCAGACGATCTGTTGTCTTGCGGGTCACGGGTGCAGGCGCCCCATCTCTCTGAGCAATTTCCTTCTCGATCGCCGCATATTTCAGTGTCGTGGCTAACACCTCGGCGTAACTGTTCTCGGGGGTTCTCTTCAAATCCAGGTAAAGATCCCCGGTTACAAGTGCATTGGTGAAGAGGGTGATGCTCGTGCACTCCGTGAGGTCCTCGACCTTTAGGGTTTCATCCCTCCACTGTATGAGAAAGTTGGATAGGGTTTCCTCCTTCCCTTGGCGGACGCTCGTCAACCAGCTGAAGTGCTTCTTAGGCGTGGAGCTAGAGACGAACTGCGTCATGAACTTTCTGGACAATTGTTCAAAACTGTCGATGGATCCGGGCCCGAGCTGCCTGAACCATTCCTGTGTCGGCCCTCTGAGGGTGCTAAAGAACAACCTGCTAATGGCCTCATCTAGGGGTGTTAACGAGCCGATTCGAGCCCGAACTCACATAGGCTCAAACTCGAGCTCGAAAAAATTTTAAGGCTTCGAGTTCGGCTCGAGCTCGATCGAGCCTAAATACTGAAACTCGAGTTCGACTCGAAAGCTTTACTTGAGTTCGCGAGCCGCTCGAGATCGACTCGAAAGCTTTGACATTTATCACAAACTTTGAGAATGGGCTACTTGCTTGGTGCTCCATTGATCCAATTGAGACGAGGTGCTTTATAGATTAATTCCAGATGAAACTACTTATCACCTTACGGTGTGTGAAATATAATATGTAGTAGTTAGAAATTAAAAACAAAGGGAGTATTAGTCCTCTGGAGTACAAAAGCTTACGGGTGAAGGGGTTCGAACTCGTGTTGCTAGCGAAGTCTAGCATGGGAATTCCGCCTCCTCTACTCGCACGTTTTGGTGGAAGTTGATGTCAAATGGCTTTTAACCTCATTCCCAGTGAGCTAATGAAAAACTACTACATAATACTTATTCTAGATTACAATTACTATAGATAATGGTTATAATAAAAATAATATTATATTTATTTATTTCTACTATAATATAATAATATGTATTAAAATAGAGTAATCCTAAATTAGAATAACTATTCCAAAAATATTATATATATAATTATTATACATAATATATCTATATACATACACACATCTAGGCTTGCAAACCGGCTCGTGAGCCACGAGCCTAAAATAAGGAGGCTTGACTCCGGCTTGTTTAGTATACGAGTCGAACCGAACTCGAGTCGAACCTCGATATGACCGAACTCGAGTCGAGCTTTACCCAAGCGATCCACGAGTGGCTTGCGAACGGCTTGGCTCGTTTGCACCCCTAGCCTCATAGGAGGCTCTCAGCATGGAGAGTTCTCCCTGGAAAGAAAGCAAATGGGCTTTAGGGTCCCCCGATTCGTTGTAAGTCAGGGCGCCGGACGGCCTAATGTCCCTCGGAATCTCCACCGTCATGATCCTGGCGGAGAAGGGAGAAGAGAGAGCAATTCTAAGCTCAGCTGGATCAGTATCCGCTCGTCGGCTGAGCATGTTGATCTGCCTTTGGAGATCCACGAGCATCGCATCCCGTGGGTCAGTAGTTGCGGCTGTGGGGGTCACCAAGGCTAAGGTGTTTTCGTTACACACAGCTTCATCGCCATGCTGCCCGCGGATGACGCGAGCCTCCTGCCTCAAGTCGCTGATCATAGGGGTCTACTCTCTGACCTCTGTATCATTGTGGGGCATCACTGGGGCGCGATCCCGTGCCACATGCTACTGTGCCCTCCTGCTGAATCTGGCCCTCCCAGCTCCCCCCATATCCGAAGAGTGGACGTTCGTGACGATCCTAGTGTGGACCAAGGAGCGAGACTTCGCGGTCCCGCCTGTACGCGCGCTGAGCGTCTACATAGTGCGGATTGGGGAGAATGGGGTACGCTCGGTGTTAGTGGAGTACGCCCGCTCCGCCTCTCGCTCGTCCGCCAAGCGGCTGATGGTATCTGCCATCTCCCTCAGGGCATCAGGGTCCCTCCTGAGTTCGTGGGGAATCACGTCAGTATGCACCCCAAAGTCCCCGCGGCTCCACAAGCTACTGGACTGGGCGTCTGCCGCCTGCTGGCAGGCTCTTTGGCTACGGGACAACCGTTCGAAGAGATCATAGGAGCTACCTTCGTTATTTCCTGCCATCTTACTTGTTTTGAGTTGTTTCTAGAGTAATTTCTTAGCTGAGAGCTTAGTTTGAAAGAACTTTTTGATCAATTTCCCACAGACGGCGCCAGTGTTGAGGTTTATTTCTTCAACCCGTAAACCCAACACACTATCCAAGGGTTTCGAATGGAAGAAGTATGGAAGTAGATGTGGAAACAAGCAAGGAAGGCCCAATAAGAAGTCTTGGTTTAATTCCACTGTTAAAGGTGTGAGGCCGTTCGTACCTACAAGGCGTGAGGCCATTCGTACATATGCTGTGCTACGAGATAATAAGAATGTTATAATACTAGAGTGCTAATTTGCCACCCTTTACAATGAAATAAATGCTACTATTTATACCGCCAATGGATAGTCAGATGCGTTGAACCCAGCTGTGGATGGCTTGATCTCAACCACCAAATCTTCTACAATAAATGCACAACCACCAAATCTTCTGTATTAAATGCAGAATCCCGTCAGGATCTTGGTTGTCCGCCAGGGGTGGGGACGTTCGTCCCCATAAGCTTGCCTCTGGTTTCCTGCTGGGCCCAAAGTCTTGCGAGACGTGCGTCTCGTTCTGCTCCGGGGCAGAGGTACCTGCCTACGCTAGGATACGTACATCCCCCAGATAATCGGGAGGGTATCCCGTGATCTTGGGCCTTTTCAGGACGTGCGTCTCCATGGGCTTTCCTCTGGTTTCCTGTTGGACCAAGTCCTGTGAGACGTGCGTCTCGTGCTGCTCCTGGGCCAAGGTACCTGCCTACGCTAGGATACGTACGTCCCCTGGATAATCAAGAGGGTATCACGTGGTCTTGGGACTTCTGGGGACGTTCGTCCGCATTAGCCTTAAGGGTTTATGAGCTAACCCCCATTGGGCCATTAACCCAACACATATCTTAGTCAATTCAATTTAGCTAAAGTCGTACTTGTATGAATGGTTCAGTCTTGTCTGATATGATATTGTCTAGTCAAATCTTATACTTTCTCGCGCGATCTAATGTGGCTGAATTAATATGTGAATCTTTTATTAATTTTATAATATGAAAACGAGTCCTATTGTTGCATTTTGAAATTATCTTATTCCTATTTGGAGTTATTTTTTTTTTTTTGGATAAAATGTAAATATAAATCCTGAGCTAGTATGGAGTTCAATCCAACTACGAGTTCAATCCAACTACGAGAGCTAAATCCACGAAAGTAGATGAAAGTATGGCAGTGTAAGGCATTATTATTATTATTCGGAAGAACGATTGACCGATCCCTTTACAGGAAATATACAGGAAGTATTTATAGACTCTAGGAGCTAGTATTCTAGGAGGAAACTGTTACAATAAATGCTATTAATTACATATTAGTCCGAGTAGAACTTAATAAAAGACAATATAAAAAAAGTCCGAGTAGAACTCCTGTAACGTCTTTGCCGTTGTGCAATGATTGTCCCTTTAAGTCCATGTCCTTCTGTTATTCCTGCATGCTACCAGATAGCTATGCACGAATGATAGCCTGCCGTGTAAAGCCCTAGGAACATCCCGACCTCACTAAAACTCCGCCCAGTCTCGAGGTCTGCTGTCCAGCCTGGCCTGGTTGTGGGTTCATGTCATGGGTCCGATTCCTCGTTAGGCCCAGCGGCTAATCATACTAATCCCGTTTATGGGCGGATCCCGTTAAGGGCTTGATCCCGTTATGGGCTGAATCCCGTTATGGACTGATCCCGTTATGAGCTTGATCCCGTTTATGGGCTGGATCTATAATTCCATAATTGGGCCATGGTCAGAGTCCATGTACCCCATCATGAGCCCCCTACTCTCTAAAATCAGCAGAGCTGGATTTTAGGAGAGTAAGTTGAGCGATTAATCGATTTCAAATTTCGAATCTTTTTGGGTGGACTATAGCGCTGCTTCGCATTAAATGCAAGCAACACGTGCTCGACGTAAGCCTGCAGCCCGACACAACTTCCAATCCTCCCTTCTACCTTCAGTACTCGAGTGCTAGGATTACGGTTCCCAAACGGTTTTGGGGCGGTTCCCAAGCCCTAATTATTAGGTTATATAACGTTCGCCACTCCTTCGTATGACTCTTCCGCGATTCTGATCTTGCCCTAGCACTTTGCTTTCTTGGTTGGAAACCCTAGGCCGCAAGAACTTTCTTCCGCTACTCGTCTTCTTCGGGTTAGTCTCGAAATGTCATCTTCTAGCTCTGTCCCCATTCACCACGTCTTTTCCGATGACAGGGCCAACTCTAGTCAGCCCCAGATTCTGGTGGGTTCCAACGGGATTGAGACTCATTTCTTTCTATCCACCGAGCACACCCGGCGGCTTCCGGTCGTCGCCTTATCTGACGCCGAATTCAGTGAGGCGGTGGCGCTCGCTGGCCCTAGCGTCGCTTGTTCCCGACCTCTTCCTGGTCAAAAAATTGTGGAGCCCCCTTCTTCCCTTCACTTTGGGGTTCACCTAGCCAGCTTACAAGTTGGCTTGTGGTTCCCGCTGCACAATGCCCATCTTAGCACCATGGGCTATTATGGAGTAATTCCGGGTTAATTCTCTCCAACCACCCATATGTTCATCCCCGGGTTCGTCGCCCGATGCCTTCATCTGGACATTCGCCCTGCAATCGATCTTTTCCTTCATTTCTTTCATTCTATCCGGCCTGGCGGTTCTGAATCCCCGGGTTAGCTCTCAATTTCCCAATGGGCCGGCCATCATTTATTTGAGGCCAAATCTTACCCCGACTCCTTCAAGGGTTGGAGGCAGAAGTGGGTTTGGGTTACCCCGGTAAACGACAATTTGCAGTTTGAGAACAAATGGGGAGATGATCCGGAAATGGGCGATGCCTTTTCTGTCAGAGGGGAATGCAGAGGCTGCCAAAATGATCACTGACGGTGCACCATTTCTGATGGGCCACTACGTAGGTGAGGACAGAGTAGTAATGTTCACATACTTGCCAGGTCGGTTAAGCTTGATTTGGCAATTTGATCTTGCTGCCTCACATGTTTATGTTTTCCTGACAGTTGTGCTTTTGTTCTGTATTCAAGGGGAACAAGATGGCGTCTCGGTTGGAGAGATTGGCAGCGAAGGCGGGTTCCACCCCAGGATCCATGCTTTCGGCCCGGCGGGTTCAGACACGGGGTGCCCAGGGCAGACTTGCATCGGAAGGATCAGGGGGGTCTACCCAAGGGGGCGAGGCTGCGACTATTGCCTAGCCGGCTGTGGACCTCCGACCTCCCCATACCAGGGGAGCCGGGAAGAGGCCGACATTCCAGCCCGCCCCTACAACCCAGAAGAAGAAGCTGAAGATGGTTGAGAAAGATGTTGCATCATCAGTGGTTGAAATTGAGTCTCATTCCGACACTCACTCTTCCAGGGGTGGCAATGAGGAGGAAACTCCAGCACCCTGCCACAAGATTCGCCTAACAATGCGTTCTGACTTCGCCTCTATCCTGAACGACACCGTCAATCTGGTAGCCCTGGCCATAGCTGTTACTCCCCTTGTGGATAGGGAGGAGCTCGGAGGCATGTCCTCTTATGTGGCCTTGAAGCGTGCGGCTCGGGCTATCTCGAAGGTGTTTTGCTCTCTTTTCCCTCTAATTACTCCTGGTTGAGCTATTTGAATCTTCTATTCGTTTCTGACGACCTGGTGTTGATTTCAGGCCTTCATCCTGGTAGCTTCCAGTTCTACTCACCTAGAGCGTGAGCTCGAGGGTGCCCGGGGGTCCTCTGATGAGCACCGCAAGGCCTTGGCCGAGCTGGAGGCCAAGTTTGAGGCGGTAGATGTTGTCAGGGCTGCTGCTGAGAAACAGGCTGATGCTGCCAAGAGGAGGTTGGATGATGCCATGGTGGCCCATGCTGCGATAGAATCATCCTGGCGGATCAAGGAGGAGGAGTTGAAGAAGCAGATTCAGGAAGCGGGAGCGAGGCCATCGAGTCCTACGTGAGCGGAGATGCCTTCAAGGCTGACTTGAATCAGGTAATCACTGAACGTAGGGCCGAGATCGCCTTAGAGTGGTTGTCGACCCTTGAGGGGGAAGATAAGACGGCGGAGGAGGGGGCTCGATGCTTTCAATTGGGGAAATTTGACATGTAGAAGTCCATTTATGAGGCTCTGCTGCAAAGAGACCCTAACTTCTCCGCTGAATCCTGGGGGCTGCCAGAAGTGATGGCGAACCCAGAAGCCCCCCCAAAAGGCCCTGCTCCTGATGCTTCAGTCCTTCCTTCCTCTGTTGCTTGATTTTATGATCCTGAATATTCTGACATTTTAACAAACATCTCTCCCAGACCTGCATGCCTATAGCTGTTTTCCTCCCTTGGGGCAGCTTGTAACTTCAAACATCTTTACATTTCTCGCTTTTATTTTTGCTTGCATATATATGACTGTTTTTCGATTGTCTCTGCTGATTGCATGATTTGATCTATTTGGTACTTCAGTGCTGTTTGAGGTTTCCGGCCCTATTCGAGCTGGCTTATTCCCTTGGATTCTTTTGTCTTCTGGGGAGTTGACCTCTTTCTTTGAACCTGTGTAGCCACGAGTTCCTGGGGAGTTGTCTTCCTAGTTGCCTGTTTTCAATCACTTTTGTCCTTTGTTTATTTGCCTTGAATTTCCGGCCAAGGTCGTTTTTCCTTTGTTAAGGATGACTTTACCGATTTTAAACTCTTAGGCTCGTAATAGTTGAGCCAGATTTGGCGGGCTTCACTTTAGGTTACTTTGACCTTGGTGGTTAGCCTCTTAATTGGCGAGGCTTGTGAGCCTCTCCGGTGCAAAGTTAATTCCCTTAATTTCATCTTTAGCCTTGTAAAATCAATCTTAACCTTGAGAAAGGTTGTCTTTTCCTGCTGAAGGAAATTTGATTTCGTTTGTAAGGCTGTTTAACCTTGAGAAAGGTTGTTTTATTCCCGCACTTGTCTTTAGAAAGACTAGGTTGAGCTTTTGGAATTTAGATGAGTTTGGAATTTATACTTTGTCTTTTTGCGAGTACTAATTAGGCATAGCCTTTACTTTTTTCTCTTTTTTTGGCTGGTTGAAAAACCTTCGCAAGTAATGTATAAAGGACATTTGTGAATGAAAACGAAACTTTTATTAAAACTTAAAGCGAAAGGAGATTACAAACTTACTGGTAGAATTTCAATAGGTGCGCAGAATTCCACACACTGTCTACCACTTTCCCTTTAGGAGTACACAACTTATAGGTTCCGCGCCCAACTATCCCCTTGATCTTGTAGGGCCCTTTCCAATTCTTGGCAACCTTTCCGCCCTCCAGAGGCTTGCTAACAGACCTCCTCCTTAGGACCAAGTCTCTGATCTTGAATTGTCTCGGTCTGACCTTGGCATCATGGTATTCTTTTACTTGTCGCCTATAATTCTCGGCTCTAATGAAGGCCCTATCTCTCTTTTCTTCAATCAGGTGAAGTTCCGCTCTTAGCATCTCCTCGTTGTCTTCAGGGTCATAGTCTCCCACCCTTTTGCTTAGGAATAAGGCTTCTGAGGGAGCTCAGGCTTCAAAGCCGTAAGTTAGAGCAAAGGGGGTTTCACCAGTTGCCTTCCTCGGGGTCGTGCGGTAGGCCCAAAGGATATTGTTGAGCTCGTTCACCCAGGCCGTTCCCAAAGATTCCAATTTCTTCTTGAAGCCATCCACGATCGTCCTGTTCACATTTTCGACTTGCCCATTGCACTGAGGATAAGCAACGGATGCCCTGATGGCCTCAACTCCCCACTGCCCACAAAATTCTTTAAAGAGCTCGGAATCAAACTGCTTCCCGTTATCGGTAATGATTTGCATGGGAACGCCAAACCGACAAAATATGTTTCTCCAAATGAACCTCTTACATTGCTCAGCAGTGATCGTGGCCATTGGCTTGACCTCAACCCATTTAGTAAAGTAATCAACCGCAACTATTACAAATTTCCGACCTCTTGAGCCCTGTGGGAGGGAACCCACGAGATCTATTCCCCATCTTGAGAAGGGGATTGTCATGCTGATGGGGATATACATGGTGGCAGGTCTGCCTGGATTTGTTTGGAACTTCTAGCAGACCTCACATTTTCGTGCGAAGTATGCGCAGTCCTTTATCATGGTTGGCCAAAAGTGCCCTTGCAAGATAGCCTTTCTACTTAAAGTAAACGCACCTTGATGTGATGAGCATATCCCTTCGTGTAACTCTTTGATCACTTGTTGAGTTTGATCTGGCCTCAGACACTTTAGCAGCACTCCATTGTAACTTCTTTTGTAAAGCTTGCCATACTGGATGACATAGTTCGGAGCCCGTCTCTTGACCACTCTTGCCTTGTCTTCTTCTGAGGGCAGCGTTCTGCCTTCGATGTATTCCATCAGGTCATCAATCCAGCACCTTGAGGCTTGGCTGACTGGCAAGACCTCTTGATCCTTGGTAACCTCGATGCTCGGCTTGATTAGTTCATGCACTCAGGCTATGCGAGTGAGATGTTCAAGCGTGTCGGTCGTTAGTTTTGCCAGGATGTCGGCCTCAACATTTTGAGCTCGCGGAACTCATAGAAGGTCGCACTCTTCAAATTGTTTTATGATTCCCAGGGCTGTATCCTTGTTTTTCTGTATTCGGGCTTCCTTGGCTTCATATTCCCCTCTAAGCTGTTTGATGACCAACTTAGAGTCGCTCTTGATCCTCGGTTTCTGAACTTTGAAGTACCTTGCTATCCTGAGGCCAGAGAGTAAGGCCTCATATTCAACTTCGTTATTGGATAGGTTGAATGAGTACCTCAGAGCGTGGTGAGTTTTGAAGCCTTCAGGGGTGATGAGGACCACCCCTCCTCCGCAACCTTTGGATCCTGATGATGATCCATCAGTCATAAGGGTCCACAAATCTTCTTCGTGACATCTTTCTTCGGCCACGTCCCTGGCAATACATTCCACCAGGAAGTCTACCAAGGCTTGCCCTTTACTTGCGGTTCTAGGCTGGAAGCTCACCTGATACTGGCTGATCAACAAGGACCATTTTACAACTCGCGCAGTCTTGGCTGTTCTGAACAGAGTTCCCACTCCCAGATCTGACAGGACCTTGATGGGGTGAGCCTGAAAGTAATGCGCAAGTTTCTTTGTTGTGACATAGATTGCTAGGGCGGTCTTCTCCAGGGCTGGATATCTGAGCTCAGCTCCATGGAGAACTTTGCTCACATAATAGACCGACCTCTGGACCGTTCCTTCTTCTCTCACTAAAATGGAGTTGACTGCGCTCTGGGTTACTCCCAAATATAGAACCAACGTCTCGCCGGCCTCAGGTTTGCTGAGGAGCATATCTGACTGTAGATATTTCTTGAGTTCTTTGAACGCAACTTGGCACTCTTGAGTCCACTGGAACCCATTGCTCTTTTTCAGGACTTGGAAAAACGGCAAGGATTTATCGGCTGACCTGGATAGGAACCTCCCCAGGGCTGCCAGCCTCCCTGTGAGGATCTGGACCTCTTTGGCATTCCTTGGGAGTTCCATATCCAGAATTGCCTTGACCTTTTCTGGGTTCGGTTCAATGCCCCTGTGTGCCACCATAAACCCCCAGGAACTTTCCGCCTTGTACTGCTAAAGTGCACATCTTAGCATTGAGTCTTAGATTTACCTCTTTCATGATATCGAATACTTCTCTGAGATCATCTGAGTGGTCGCCGGCTCTTTGACTCTTCATGATCATATCATCAACATAAGATTCCATGTTTCTTCCCAACACTGCTCGGAAGACCTTAGCTACCATCCAGATATAAGTGGACCCAGAGTTCCTCAAGCCGAAAGCCATTACCAGGTAGCAAAAAACTCCCTCTGGTGTGATGAATGAGGTCTTCTCCGCATCATCTAGGTGCATAGAGATCTGGTGGTATCCCCTAAATGCATCCATAAAGGAAAGGAGCTCGCATCCGGCGGTCTGATCCACTAGCTGATCTATGCTGGGCAAAGGGAAATAATCCATGTGACAAGACTTGTTCAGGTCCATGTAGTCTACACACATTCTCCAGGTAGGTGGCTTAGGAGCCAAGACCACATTGGCAAGCCATTCCGGATACTGTACTTCATTGATGTGTTTGATGCCCAACAGCATATTCACTTCCCTCTTGACGAATTCCTTCCTGTCTAAAGACAGGTACCTTCTATTTTGCTTGACGGGCGTTGCCTTCGGATCCACGTTCAACTGGTGAACTACTATGCTTGGGTCGAGTCCGAGCATATCTTCAGGCCCCAAGCAAAAACCACCTTGAACTCTGTTAGAACCTGGACTATCCTTGCTCTCGGGTCGGTCAGGAGTCCTGCACTAATATTAACCCGACGTTCTGGCCGGGAGGGATCGACTCTGACCTCCTCGAGCTCTGAGACGGGCTGATCTCTGAACTGCCCTTCCTCGTACCTGGACAAATCTTTCTCAATGGCATTGACCCTTATATCATTTCCTCTGTGAGCCTTGCAGGCTCTTACATAACAACTCCTGACCATTTTCTGGTCTCCCTTCACCGCGCCTATTTCGGCCGATGTATAGAACTTCATGCATAGATGAGCTTGGGAGATAATGGCTCCCAGATCCTCCAACAGGGGTCGGCCCAGGATGGCCTTGTGAACACTGGGCAGTTGAACAACAACAAAATCCGTTTCGATCTCCCGGACACATGGTTCTGATCTGAGCTGGATCTTGAGAGTGATCACCCCTTCTAGCTCAATCGTATATCCGGTAAAGCCTGAAAGAGGGGTTTTTACTGGTCTGAGAGTTCCCTTCAGGAGCCCAATTTCCAAGAAAGCATCCAGGTATAGTATGTTGACCGAGCTTCCATTGTCCACGATAACTCTATGGACAATTGCATCCATAACTTCCATCTTTATCACCAAAGCATCTCTGTGAGGCGGGGGACATGGGGGGAGATCATCATCCGTGAAAGTGATGGATTCCCGCTTCTGCTTTTTGTCAGCAGGAAGACGATTGATTTCCCCGACGAATAGTTGGTGGTTCCACTTCTTTCTTTACCCCGTAGTGTCTGCTCCGACAGGTCCGCCATAGATTTGGTTGACATGCGGGCGCTTTTGCCTGCCTGAATCCTCTCCTTCATCATCATCCTCGAACTGGGGCCCGACCTCCCTCTTTTTAGAGGTTGAGGCTGGCTCGCCTTTCCCCTTGTTCCAGGTGTTCTTCCTCGGAGGGTGTTGTCCCTACTAGCTTTTCTTCACAGGATCGACTTGTCCCTACTTGTCCACCTCCCTCCCGAGCTCTTCCAATCTCCTCCTGAGGTTGTCGTTGCCATGACCAGCTCGAGCTCGAGGCGGGGTTCGGCGATCTCTGCGGGCCTGTCGGTTGGCATTGATCTCATCCCTGAGATCTCCCCCACGCGTGTTACGTCAGTGGGATGAAACGACCGCGGATGATGCCTCCTCACTCTGCTCAGTCCTGGATGAGATTTTGTCATGCACGGAGATCCTTTGCTCGCCGATCCGGTCCATCATCGAGGTTTTCGGAGTCGGCCTGGAGTGATGGGACCGTTGAGATCGGGTTGGCGGAGAGTCTCCATTCCGGTTCACGTCTCTCTTCCTCCCGCAGAGGCATAGATGGAGCCCGTCGAGGGGAAGGTCTTGCATTAGCATCAGGAATAATACCTTGAAAGGCGGTGGTCAGAGTTTCCCCAACCCTCTGGAATGTTGCCAAACTTACCAAGGCTTAGGCCGGATCAACATTAGGGATATGGTTCCCGGTGCCTAGCGTCTGGAACTGCGGTGGCCGCACCGTTGTGCACATGGAACTCCCAACGCCATGGAGATGATTTCTCAAATCACCCTGAGCCGCCGTGTTGTTATTACGACTCCTGAAATCACTGCGCCGTGATCTAGAACCCTCATCCTCGATCACGACTTGATTGAAACGATCGCCGCCTTGATTGCTACCCATGCGGTTGTGACTAGTCGATCCAACCATCGTCTTCGCAGATCATTCTCTCAACGAGAGCACCAAATGATGGAGTTTAATCCAACTACGAGAGCTAAATCCACGAAAGTAGATGAAAGTATGACAGCATAAGGCAGGAAATATTTATAAACTCTAGTAGCTAGTATTCTAGGAGGAAACTGTTACAATAAATGCTATTAATTATATATTAGTCCGAGTAGAACTCTTGTAACGTCTTTGCCGTTGTGCAATGACTGTCCCTTTAAGTCCATGTCCTTCCGTTATTCTTGTCTGCTGCCAGATAGCTATACACGAATGATAGCCTGCCACGTAAGCCCCAGGAACATCCCGACCTCACTAGAACTACGCCCAGGCTCGAGGTCTGCTGTCCAGCCAGGCCTGGTTGTGGGTTCTTGTCGTGGGTCCGATTCCTAGTTAGGCCTAGCGATTAATCATACTAATCCCGTGTATGGGTTAATCCCGTTAAGGGCTTGATCCCGTCACGAGCTGAATCACGTTATGGGCTAATCCCGTTATGGGCTTGATCCCGTTTATGGGCTGGGTCTATAATTCCATAATTGGGCCATGGTCAGAGTCCATGGTACCTAGGGGTGGACTCAGGCCGGGCCAACTGGCCCGGAACCGGACCGGCCCGCTACTGTGCGGGCCCGGACCGGCCTGGTGAACCGGTTGGTTGGCCGGTTCGGGCCATCCAGCCCGGTGGGATGTCGTTTCGGGCTCAGGCTTTTCAAAAGGTGAACCGGCCCGGCCGGTTCGGGTCCGGGCCGTGCCAATTGTTTTTTGAATTTTTTTTAAATTTTTTTAAGTTTTTGGGTTGGGCTGGGTATTTTGGGCCATTTGAGGTGGTTAGGGTTGGTTTGGGAGTGAGGGGGAGGGTTGGGGGTTAACTAGGAAAAGCCACAAAAAAAAAATAGAACCGAGGCCCGGCCCGGACCAGGGGGTTCTCCGGGCCGGTTCCGGGCCTCCCCTTCATGAACCGAGGCCCGGCCGGGCCCGAACCGGAACCGGTCCATCCCTAATGGTACCATCAGTATTAATTTTTATAAGGTTATTTCACTTTGATTGTTTTTACCTAAAAACTATAAGATTATGATTAGTATTTCTGCATTCTTTTATTTTCATTGGCGATTTAAATAATAATAACATAAAAAGGTTGAAAATATTGTATTTTACTAAGGAAAAAAGACAAAAATATTACTTCAAGTCTCTTAAAATATAAAAACATGACTACTTCTCATTTTTCAAAAAATGTGATTACCATTTTTAATTGGTTCAAATTTTCTATACAAAGTCAAAAGTCAAACAGGTTTTTCCAACAATGAGAAAGGGGAAACCCCAAACACATCGTAGTTTCCTGCGCACGAGGTTAGAATAAACAAACAAATCCCAGCCTCCTTATTATACCACTTAACATTACATAAATCTCAAACTAACAGAGAGAATAACTGCATTTGTAAATACTCAACTCCCCTGATGTTCTTGGAGCAGAAGCAGGTTCCTTTTCCACAATCTGGTGCGATCATTTAGTCTGCAGAAAACCTCTGCCCTCCAAATACGTGGCTACTTCAGCAGCCATATCATTTGGTGTGGGGCATGCTCCATCTTTTTGACTCAGCTCAATCTAAATAAAAGATTCTTTTTAAGACAGTAATAGAATAAAACCCAAATAACAGTTCTACATACATACAATGAACTAGTCATACAATTAACAGTCCACTAAGTATCACGGAAACGGGAAAGGGAAACAGGATTTCTAAGAAATATAGGAATGCTGGGATTTGAAAAAAAAGTGCATATAACTTTGTTTTATAACCAATAGTAAATACGATAGTACATTCTACACGCTCAAATTTAAAAATATTACATATTAGTACATAATGAAGCCTAAAATGCAATATAATTCTACCAATGCAATTCGTTATAGAATATCACAATATTGCTAGGATGAAATCACATAATACTCTCTATTTAAAAAAAAACACTGTTTTCCATAGAGGAATCCTATTATAAAGAGAAAAATGTAAATCCGATGTTTTCAAAACGCAAATTATTTGGGGAAATGGGGTTTCCCAGTTTTTCTTAATTATAGAGACGGCCCCAAAACGGAAAGTTGAAGTTCCTCAGTTTCCGAAACATTTTATAGTTTCTAAAACGGGAAAACGTGAGCCGCGAGAAGTTCCCAGGCTTCATAGACACTTCTGGATATTATACATATCTTAACCTCCATATAAGAGATGGATTTCCTAACCTTATTGTCCAGATTTTAAGGTTGAGACTCATACTCCAGCTCTTATATGTTGTGAGGCTTATTTAAATAAAATATAAACAAGTGTTATTTGTTGCAATCATTTTGGCTTTAAATAAATTATCACCTCACAGTTTGAAGGTGCCTCATAAGGATCATCTATTCCGGTAAAACCTGTGCAGGGAAAATTTGCAGTTATGTTCTTTAGATTACAATTATTTGGGATTCAAGTCTGTAATCCTAGAACAAATAATGGAAAACGTTCTTTTCTTCTTCTTGAATAAAAGAAAGGGCAGCCCAGTGCACATTGCTATATATTCTCAAGGCGAGGAACCACTGAAGGGTCCCACCACAAGAATGCATAGAGGGCAAACTTTCCCTTGTGACAAGAGGCCGCTCCCAAGACCTTAGCCCATGACTTCTCGGTCGAACAACAACACCTTAACCGGTGCACCAAGGCTCCCCTTCTTTCTTCTTCTTGAGTAATAGACTAAAAATATTAATTATAACAATTCTAAAAAGAAAAGAATAAAACACATCCTGTTCCTCAAATCATTAGTGGACTCATTCATTACCAGGTTGTGTTCTGTATGAAAAAGTTGCTGATATTACATGCATATAGAGTAATGGCTATCCATCCAAATTGAAGAAAATGTCAAATTAATACCTTAACTTGTCTCTACTAGCATTAAGAGTACATCATCATGCAGTCGATACAACAAAGTACCTAAACTTGATTTTTTGGTGTTAACTGAGTACAGCTTTAACTCTCACGTTTATAAAAACTGAGATGGAAGGGATTAACCCTTTATTTTATACCTTCAGTATCCCAGTCAGCAAATATTCCCTTCTATTAACCGTTTTTACCTTTTAGGGCTTCACTGCACCTCCTCTTCTTTCTTCTTTTTTCTTTTCTCTTTTTCTGCGCTGCTCTTCTTCTTAATTTTATCTTCTTCGTCCGTTGAGGCTGTAAAAGGAGAGAAAGGGGCGGCGCTATCTAGCGGAAGTCATTTCAATTTGTATGCCACAAGGTCTCTATGGACAAAGGGACAAGTGAATAATCACTTCTGGGCATCACAGAAAAGCGTTCTACCTTCAACCCGTTTCATTCCATCGTCTTGTATTGTTCCTAGATCAGCAAGCAAAGCAAGAAGGGTCCCGACAAGTACACCTATGGCTGGAGGCGTTGAGATGAGTACAACTGTTGTGGGGAGGTTTGTTTGTGGGGTTACTGAGTAACAGAGAGCGAGAACCCTAACCATCGACGGTGGTGGCAACTGGCAAATGAAGGGAAATGACGTCTGATGGAAGAGAAGGATGAGTTGTGATGGCCTGAAGAGATAAAAGTGAAAGGGCCTTGTGGCCATAAAAAGAGAAAACGGTGGGCACAACCCCTTCTTTCTCCCTCTGTTCTGACCAACTTCATTTGCTATCAATTGGAGACTGCCTTAATGAAATGGATCATTTCCTAACGTTGGTATAACAGACATACTCAACTGACACTAAAAATCAAATTTATGTAATTTGAGGTCTATGATACAAGATTATGTACTCTTAATGCTATGGGAGACGAGTTTAAGGTACCATTTGACACTTTTCTCCGTCCAAATTAAAACCAGTTTGGTAAAGGCAAAGTTTGGCAGCAATGGCCAAAGTTACTTAACAGGCTCATCATCATCATTCCCCCAATGCCGCAAAGGCTCCCACCTTCGGTGGGTAAGGGGGGTCGGATGTACGCAGTATTACCCTTATACTAAAGCACAAAGAGACTGTTTCCGGATGACCCATAGTGAAAACTGCTTCGAAAATTGCATGGACTGACTGCTGCTTGCTTCATAAGAAAGAAGCGCAGAGAGTTTAGTGAGTCATTTTGCTTTATTCCATCATATTCCCAAGCCAAAAAATAGTGAGTCTTTGGCTCCATTGCAAATGATGGAAAGACTTAACAGGCTAAATAGTTGAAATTGACTAAAAAAATTAAACTAAAGAACATAATATACAAATGACAAACATAATAAAATCAACAAATTCAAAATAGATTAATGCCCCATTGTCAGTAACAAACAAACCTTTGATTTTTCCAGCTCGAGCAAGCTTGTAGAGGCCCTTTGGATCTCTTCTTTCACATACTTCTAGTGGCATATTCATAAAAACCTGTTAAAGAAAACTGAAGTGAAAATAGGGAAAGGAGACAATATGTCTTTTTTCTGTGGAAGGTTCTTTTATTCATCGCGTTACTGTGGTTCTTCAAAAACTTGACTGAGTCATGTACCTCAATAAATGAATTTGGCAACACGGTGCGGCAAGCATCACGGTCCTTTCTGTAAGGAGATATTAAACTGGCAATGCAAATCAAACCAGCATCCGCAAATAGCTTCGCCACTTCCCCTGTGTATTTTTAAAATAAATCTTGTTGATTTAGAAACTACCAAGCATCGCCGGCTTAATTAATATGAAATTTTATTTAATTAACATGAAACACATTTGAGGTTTTGGATTCACACAACCCATTTACTGCCCTGGAAATGAGTGAAATTTAAAGTAACTTGACAAGTTCCTGCCAAATATGGTGGAAAATGAAGCAGTGATATGTTATTTACTTTCTACACAACCACTATACCAAATTCCATCACACCAAACACCCTCTAACAACGATTGTTCGTGTCGCACCATTTTTTTTTTCATTTTCGTTCTATATTTCAATGTTTTGTTTTCAAATTTCTATATATTAATAAAACATTTTGTGCAGATCTGTTTTATACTAACTATATGTTATAATGTTATGTATATTATTTATATTGAAAAAGCGTACTTTTTATAAAATGTGAAAGTTCTGTACACAAAGCCGAAATAGTAATTACACTAAAAACAAGAATTCATGTTTCCGAGAATGGGGAAATAATTAAAATACCCCAAACTTTGAAGGCATGGGACATAAACACCCCGAACTTTCATATGTAATTTAAATACCCCAAACTTTATATAAAAAGTTATTTTAACACCATGGTTATGTATGATTTCTTTCAAAAATGTAAATTTATGGTGTTAAATGCATAGTTTAAAATAGAAATTGAAAACATTGGAATTATATATAGTGGTGGGTCCGTGGGTAATACTATTTATTTTACAATGGAAGCTTAGAAATTAGAATGTTAATTGTATCTTTATTAATGCTAAAAATTATCAAATTATGAAATAAACACCAATGATTAATATTTTTGAAAGAAATAATACATGACCATGGTGCTAAAATATCTTTTTATATAAAGTTTGGGGTATTTAAATTACATATGTAAGTTTGAGGTGTTTATGTCACTCCCCTTCAAAATTTGGGGTATTTTAATTATTTTCCCCTCCAAGAATATAGTTTTCAAAACTCTATAAAAAATACTACAGTTTAACACATTTTGTTGCACCAAATTTTAAAACAAATAATGAAGAACGCAGAAAATGAAATAAAAAATAGTTATTAGTTACCAAACTGACACCTTAACCTTCCCGTCATACTTGTGTTTGAGCATGAAATTAAGAAAGTAAAACCATGAGAATTGTATTTAAGATTTCAAAGTAGCACATATAGCAACAAAACCAATATGGTGGAATGTGGGTATCCTCCCTACCTTCCCCAAACACCCGCAAAAAGAAGCAGAAGTGATGTCCAACATATACTAACCAACCCTGCGGATATTTTCAGTTCGGTCTTCTGGTGAGAAACCAAGATTTTTATTGAGACCATGCCTAAGATTGTCACCATCCAGAACGTACGAAAGCTTGCCCCTTGAGTGTAATTCTCTGCCAAGAGAGCATGCAAGTGTGCTTTTTCCTGCAGGATTAGGATACCAAATATGTGGAAATAAGCTAAATTTGTAATGGGCATGCTAGAAAGATTCAATAATACATTATGGCAAACTAAAAACGATCCTACTTATATTAATTAATTTCATTACTTCTCAACTAAATGCTTGCCTTGTTTGTATCACATTTCAAATTCAATAAAAATCACTTAGCAGCATATTTTTTGAAATAGGACCTTTTGTGGGACGTAAGTGCATTTTGAAACCAAAGGAAAGTAAAATTAGAATTAAAATCAGAAAATAGAAGGAAAAGGAGAATGAAGGGACAATGAATGGAAAAATCTGTGCCAACCTGAGCCACTAAGGCCAGTGATCCATACAATGCATCCCTGTTGATTGAGTAATTTTTCCCTTTCTGTCTTCCCAACTGCACACTGATGCCAGAATATGTTTGCTGGATTTCCCAAAGTAGCCATCAAGAACCAGCAATCTTACCTTTTTACCAATGAAATTATACAGTCACAGACTCACAAATTGAAGCATTATAATCTAGAAAATGCAACAACATCCAAGCCTTAGTCCCAAAAGAGTTTGGGATCGGCTAAGTAGTGCTAACATGTAACATCTGGAAATTGCAACAATGGTCAAAAAACATGTATAAAGATACATACTCCTTGTGTCCCTTAAAATTGGTCAATGTTAACTCTCACGTGAATAAGAACGTAAAAATTGTGAGTTGAAGTTTGTGGAGATGAGATATAATGATAATGACCACAAGCTTGTTACTTTAAGGGAAAACAACAAAGTTTCTTAAACGGTCAAATAAGGAAACTTGTCAAAATTTAGTGCCTTAGTGGGATGGAGGGAGTATTAGTTATTGAGAGAAGAAGAAATACTTTGATCTAATGGGATAAAGATCCAGTCTTTTTACATGCGCAAAACTTTGTAATGGTAAAATCATGAGAGATTATTTATGAGTAGAAGTAATAACGCATGGATCTGTTAAGTTAAAATTGGAGATCAGGCTACTCGTAACTCCTTTCCTGCTCTTCACATCTTTTGACCTTAACTTCTGCGATCTACATTTCTGTTATTTAATTTGATCGTAACGTTCAATTTAATAAACCTGGCGTTTGGGTATTATTACAAGTTCTCCTTGAAAACAATGACAAAAGTTGATAATTATCAACTGCCATCCATCCATAAATCCATTCCCCATCAAACCAATGAATAACAATAACCAAAAATCAAACGAAAAAGGAAAAAATAAAACGAACCAACAAGGTATCCATTAAACTTTATCAGATTCATCCCCCCATTCACCAGTGCTCAAGAATAACCATCAAGAATTCAATTCAAGCATGCAAGTTTAAGAAAAATGAAAAAGAGAGGAGAATGATCGTGCACACCTGTTGAAGATGAGCGAAAGAATCCTAGAATGAAGAACTAATGAGCCGGGGTTTGATGAATGCGGGAAATTTTCAGTTGGAGAAGAGTGAATAGAGCGAGATGGTGGGCGAGAGCGATATCAGCAGTTTGTATCTTCCGCGCGGACCTTTAGAGGTCGTATTGGACATTTGGACGACGATTACGTTCTTAGGTAGGTTTAGGTACAAGGATGTTTTTCCTTGTCTCAAATTTTGTGATTTGGCAGGTTTTCTTTGATCTAATTTAGAGCCCGTTTGGCAGCACGAAAATCGGCTGTTTTGGTTTATTCTGCTGAAATTTATGAAGTTCTGGCTGAAGTGGCTGCATTGGCTGATTCTGCTGATACAAGAAAAAAATATTTTTAAAATATATTTTATTAATAAAATAAAGAAAAATATATGTGTAAAAATAGCTAAAATGGTCATCTACAGTAACTTCAGCCAATACAGCCAGAAAAGTAACTTCAACCTTTTTTTTTCGGCTTATTACACAATTCAGCGCACGAAAGCAAAATTTACGTGTTTGGTAAAAAAGTTGACTGATAAGCCTGATAAGCCGAAAATGAGGGTTGCCAAACGGCCTCTTAGTCTGATTTGAATGTCTGATCATATATTTTAGTCACTGAGTCTTGATATAATGTTTAAATATGATTTGATCTGATTTGATTTGTTTAAGTAAAGTCTATTCTGATATTACCTGAAATTGAAACTAATTAAGTAAAAACATTCAAAGTGGGAAAACTACCTCTAAATACAAATAAAATAATCCATAAATGTATATGTAGAACTATTAGACTATAGCTTTAATTTTACCAAAATAGGAGTAAAGTATACTATACTTCCTCTACATCATTACCATAACTAAATAAGTAAATCATATTTTTATTTGTAATAAAAACATAAAATAATGTATTTAGTGTTTGTTTTCATGTTCTTTAAATTTTACGTTTTTATTATAAATAAAATTATTTTATTATTTTTGTGTTTAGTTATTAATAAATATGAAGTATATGAAAGTTATTTTGGGGGAGGAAGCAGAGGTTGGATATAACTTACAAAGATGTTACAGTATCATCTTTTATACTGTAATTGTAGTAAAATAGTAAAACCACATTAGTTATAGATTGATAGAGTGTTTGAAGGCAATGGTTTTTTATTGATTTCCAAAAAGAATTTGTTTGGTAATATTCTTTGTTTTCTTGTTTCTTTTTCACTAGCGGAAAACGAAAATGATAGAGTGTTTGACGGCAATGGTTTTTTATTGATTTCCAAAAAGAAGACTAGAACTTTGAAAATGACTAGGCAACGGGACCACTTGATCCACTATTAAGAACCCGTTTGGTGACCCCTTTTTCGGCTTATCAGGTTTATCAGCCAATTTTTTCATCAAACACATAACTTTTAATTTCGCGCGTTGACGATTGTAATAAGCAGAAAAAGTAAGGTTGGAGTTACATTTATGGCTGTATTGGCTGAAGTTAATGTAGATATCATTTTACCTATTTTTCATATAGTTTTTTACTTAATTTATTAATAACAAATATTTTAAATATAATTTTTTCATGAATCAGCAGAATCAGCCAATACAACCACTTCAGCCAGAACTTCATCAATTTCAGCAGAATCAGTCAATTCAACCGATTTTAGTGTTACCAAACGGACTCTAGAGTGTCACATATGTGCTTGACACACACACATAAACACTGTATATCAATAATAAATATATTCTTAACTATGTCTTTTTAATATGCATATACTTAGGGGTGGTCCAAACCGGTTCGGCCCGACCCGCTACTGTGCGGGCCCGGACCGGCCCGGGTGACAGAAGGGCGGTTCGGGCTTTGAACCGGCCTGATCGGGTAGGGCAGTTCGGGCACGGGGCCTTAATTATGTGAACCGGCCTCGTTCACAAGGTGGCCATAAATACTCCATTTTTTCTATACAATCTACTACACATCTTCTCCAAATATTCCTACTCTCTAATCTCTATTCTCTACTAATCTTCTTCATCTTCATCTTCCCAAATTTATAACTACATATATTATATTTATAAAATTTATTATCTACTTCATATATAGTTAATATCAATTATTATATTATTGTTATTTACTTATATTTACATGTTACATATAGTTAATATATACTTATATATATTAAAGTATTAAATATAAGTGTATTACTCATCTTATAGTAATATACTTATATTACATATACTATAAACATAATATTATATACGTAGTATTGCTTAAATAATTATTATATCTACTTATACACTTATTATCTACTTATAAATATACTAGAAACAAGGAATAGAGTTGGCATTGGAATCAGTCAAACCTGATGTACAAATGAAAGATGTTGATTTGGTAAAAATCGATTAAACTTGTAAGCACAAATAATTTCTTTTAGTGCAATCGTATGTATATAATAGTGAAATGTCTTCAATGTGCAGTTCTTCTTTCCAAGTGTTCAACCAGAGCATTGTTAAGTTGCGGGTTTGAACATGAAAAAACAGCAAGTTGAAGTGTTGGACAACTCCTCGGTGAACATGCACTTTGACGAAAAGTATGGTGAAATACCGTATTCCCTGGTCAGTTTAGTGCACAATACACATAAAAATGAAAATTTTAATGTATATTATGGTTTACAGAAGTTATGTATATTTTGATTTAATAAACTGTTTGTTGAAAATGTTGAATACAGAGAGACATGTTTGTTGATTTCATGACCGAAATGGAATTGGATACCGACGACAACACATTCTACACACCTACTATGACAAGATTGAACATGAGGTGGAGAGAACCAAGAAATGTGTATGATTATGGAGTCTGGAGCAAGAGACATATGGAGACATACATGGGCCAAGGGACTAGAGGATGGGATTGTGGAGTTAAAAAAGGTGATGCAAAGGCACTGAATGCATTGAGAATGAAATATTGTGCATCAATTTTGACATCAGGTATTAACGAGGTCAAGGACAACCACTTGAATGCGGTGAAGGATATTGGGAAGGCGACTAAGTTCATGAAGTAGACGTGAAAGAATACTTTAGCACTCTATATTTACAATATTTCTTGCAAGGATATTTATTTATAAACATTTACCGTATTTAAATGTGCAATGCATTGCACGTTTGTTTTGTGGTTAGACGCACATTAAATAGTTTAGTGTGCAAAACTAAGTTTTGAGAATACTGTGGATTTTTTGACAATTTCATCTTACTTCTTTGGTGATTATGAAAACACATTGGTGGGATTATTGAAATGGATCATTTGTTTTTGTTGATTATATGAAAGCATATTTCACGAAGTTATGCACTTCTTAAACGTAACAGTGCATATGTATTATTATGTGGCTACTTGTTTTTTTAAACATGCACAATTTGATTAAACCATTGAAGCATTTGCGATCAAAACCCTGGAATATTGAATGAATACAATAACCTAAAATATGTGTAACATGTTTTATTTAAAGTACTTAAAGTGCATAAAGTATATTGATATGTACTTCAAGTGCATTGTGATATGTATTTTTGACTACACGTTGGGGTGATACCAATGAATTGTCATTTGTGTTGTATTATATTTTTAAAAACAGGAAGAATTAATTTTAACAATGCACTTTTGGGTAAAAACAATGAACGATTTGGTGATAACAATGCACAATCAATAGTAATTTATAATATAACGTAATACAAACATAAAAAAAACATAGACCCAATATATTAAAAAGAATAAGAATTTGTACATGTGAAAATGACAAGTACTAAAAAAGAATAAAAAGGTGAAATCATTCCTCCAAGATAGAAAACAATTATTAAACATGAATAAAAAAGAATGATTATTCCTCCAAGTTCAAAGGATAATTCCTATTGTCATGATACCCTTTTTTATTACATTTTCTACATAATCTCTTAGTCTTTTGGGTCACTTTAATTGCCTTCTCCTTGCCACCTTTAAGTCTCTTACCACAACCCTTATTTCGAGCTTGCTGAGGTGGATGCACGCTCACTTCAGTAGGAATCGATGACCCATAAAAGTCTTTGATGACATCTCTTTTAGAAGTTGTTGTTGCACTACTTGTTTGAGAGGTAGACAATAATTATTTTTGCACCTTAATTGCATCTGAAAATTGCTTCAACAAATGAGGTTGCTGGTCAATCATTCCAATACAAAAATTAATATCAGACCACAATGTCTTCATAGTTAGGGTTTGTTCTTCACTTTCAACACACTGCTGAAAAACACCATCTTCGAATGCATTCACAGGCTTTATAATTGAATCTTTGCACCATTGACGTAACACATACCTATCTGGAATTGCCTTGACCTTCTTATCTTTCAATACATAAAATATATGATGACACAATATCCCAAGCCTTTCAAAATGTTTGCAAGAGCAAAGTGTAGTACCGTCACTAGTATTATGCACAACAGTGAAATTAAAACCTCGCTCATCTGATATAATATACTTAAACACGCAACCTTCATGTTCAAGACTAAGAACAACACAAGAAAAGCAGGCACAACATATTTCCTTCTGAACGAGATAAAAAAATTGAATGATTATAAACAGAGGAAGCATATCTCTCAATATGTAACGGAGTCTTGTACTCGAGAATGGAGGACTCAGAAACTTTGGTCAATTGTGCACTCTTATGTCTTTGTGAATCCAGTGCACTCTCAAACTGCATATAAAACTCAACCAAACTGAAATTAGGATTTGTGAATTCATTAAAAAAATTATTTTTACTCTCAGAACGTGATGTAGTCCTAAGCAATCCCGCCATGAAAATGTCACCAAAATATGCAGGAATCCACAACCTCCTAATCTCAAACATGTGCGAGAACCAATTATGATGAAGTCATATTCTTTCATCAAATTAGTCCATCTCATCTCAAATTCAGCTAGCTCCAAGTAATGACTCCACACAATAGAATTCAATTCCTTCATAAAATTGGAATCTTTACTCAACACCGATCCAACTTTCGAACTGACCTTGGACATAATATGCCACATACAAAATATGTGACATGTTGTACTAAATACCTGTGGAATGGCAATTTTCATGGATGGGTCTTGATCTGTTATGATGCACTTTGGTCCCGACCCATTGCATTTAGAAAACAACGAAAAAGCCAGACATAAGATTCCACATACTCTTTCAACAACAAACCCACACCAGAAGTAATACACTTTTTGTGATTATCGACGCCAGTGAAAGGGGCAAAAACCATGTTATACCTGCGGGGTGAAAGAAAAAATCAAAAGTGCATTGATCGATTTTACAAAGTGCATTACATTAGATTATCAGTACAACACATACGAAAAATAGAACTATAGCATGAATAAAAATATACAAAAAATGAAATTAATCAATGGAATAATTATTTATAACAACAATACATGTTTGTCTCATATGTTGCATCAAAAGAAACAACATCCCCGAATAAAACATAGTTCTTTGTACACACTGGATCCGCCCAAAATATGTGTGTCAACTGGTCACTCTCGTCAACATCATAGTCAAATGAAAAGGATGAACATATCTCTTTCTTTCTAAATAGCTTATCTATCAACATTGAGCATCTACGCCAACTAAATAAGCCTTCAAGTCACATTTAAAAATTCTTAAAATCAACGGAAGTAGCACCAATATTGGCATAACCCCCGACAGTTTCGTTATACAATCGACAGCGTTTCATAGTACCAATATTTGCTTTAGCACAATTCAAAAAAAAATTGATGACCAATGTCAAGTTTCCTATTCACTTTTAAGAATGGCATCGAAGAAAGAGAAGACATAGAATGATTATGCCTCTCCTCAAAGAATGTAATTGTGTATCCATTCATGCCGACAAGCCTATAAACCACACGTGCTTTGCAATCACACCTATTAGAAACTGTGCGTCTTTTATTCTCGTCATCATCAACACATACTCCCGGAGTTGGTAAATCTTCACCGTGAGGCCGGTCTTCATTTTCAGATCCGTCAGATTCACATGATTCATTTTCAGTAGTGAAATCTTCAATTTCATTACTAAGCTGATCATCTAAATCAACATTCTTACAGGATTCAATGTTAGATGCAACCGTCTTAGCTTTAGATACATTTTTGAAGCCCTGTCTATTACACACCATATGTTTCCAAACAATAATGCCATCACGAGCCCTATGTTGACTGCTTTTACATGATTCAAAACCACAAATTGATGCATATTGCTCATAAAAATGCATATCAGACCACCCTGTAAGTTATTGAACAACATACCAACATGGGATTTGAAAGCAGGGTCACATTCAGGTGTGCAGTACATAGTATTAACATCAAAGCATTGAGAAATTGCTGCAAAGACACTGAAGTTAACGTCACTTGAACCTAATTGAACCATGCAGACGAATAATTCACAAAAAACGTACTTTAGCACAAAGAGCACAGTAAACTTCCAAGTGAACAAGAAAAATAAAAACAGTAAATTTAATATAAATAAAAAAACCATTTGAAAAATATTGATATATGTTAAGAAGGATTAAGCTACATGCACTGAAAGTATTCAAAAACACATGCATTGAACAACGCCACTACAATAAAAGTGTTTTGTCTAAACGCAAATGCATCATAATTCCCTTTATAGTGCAACCGTTTGATATTGACAAACTCAATTTTAACATAACAATTTTTTTTCATAAATGATTTACGGCATCGGTAAACTAGAAGCGCATGAAGTTTACAATATTGAAAAAAAAGTAACAATCAAATGTCAAAATTGTACAGTACGAGATCGAAATTGAAATCATATTTTACACATATATTCATCAAGGAACTTAAAATTTGAAGATTTTAAACAATGATAAAAAAAACGATACTTACTGAACTCCATGGAAGAGCGTTAGGTTGGAGCGGAAAACCAACAACCCACGATGGAGCACCGATAAAAAGAAAGACGAACAAGGAGAAATCCGATGAAGATACGTTAATTGTTAGGATGAATTGCGAACAAGGAGAGAACAAGAACGCATCAGCAAGAACGATGCAGGTCGAAGAGAAGAAAGACGCAAAAGAAGAACAACGCAGGAGGAAGATGTGTTTGGAAAGAATCGTGGAGGAACAGTTATTCAAGGAAACATGCAGCGCTAACTTAGGAAACGTAGGAATGTTTAAACAGAATTAACTTGAATACCCTTCACAAATACTTAGGCGCACGCTATATCAAAACCTAATCCAACGGTAGATATGTATTCTTTTTTCCTCTCCTAAGATTAGTTTCTCACATGAACGTAAATCTATATATATATATATATATATATATATATATATGTGTGTGTGTGTGTGTGTGTGTGTGTGTGTGTTGTGTATGTATGTATATATAGGGAGAGGATCCCATACAAACTAGGCTTCCATTGCAAACTACAAACCAATACCATCCGTTAGATTAGACAAAACGGACAGCTCTCCATATGGGACACATTATTATATTGGTGCACTGACACGCATGGAATAGAAAAGGGAAAACATCGTCTTAGCGCTTAAGTCATTTACAAGGTTACTGTAGTAATTTAACAAAACAAAGAGAAGTCGTGAAAACCAAAATCGGGAATAACTTCGGAAAACCCTGATTTTACGGTTATTATCCACTAACAAGTAACCGCCCATGAATAGCAAATGGCGAGAAAGGTAAGTTGCAGAACATGGACGATTGAAAACAGAGTGACCAATGATTTCAAAGCCTGGAAAACAGAGTGACCAATGATTTCAAAGCCTAGAGCAAGGTTTTTGGTTACTTTTTTTAGCGAAGCTGAGTGCATGGAAGGGAAGGTGGTCGACCATTACAGGGGATAGCTTCGCTAGTTTGTGAACCACAAATTCACATAGCTTCTTGTTTTTTCTAAGATCAGTACTCTCGAAGCTTTGTAGTTGATCCAAGAGATATTTTCTTGATGAAAAATAGTGTATCCTGCTATTAATGATGATTTTCCATTTCATGCAGTTATTGATATTATGGCTTTGGTTGTTCACCTAATGATTTGTGTAGGAGGTTTCCCAATTCAATAGTATCCTATAATGACTTTGCTTCAAAGGGAATTTTTCTCTTGTATGTGCAACATTATCCTTTGATTCTCTTTTTTTAGTTCTTCCATGTTGGCGAGTTTATCCATTTACCAGTAAGACCGAAATGTAAATTTAATCTCGATTATCTCTGTAATTTATGTATGGAGTGGATGTATTTTTTCATTTTGATAGGTAATGGAATTGCTTTGCGTAGATTCTTTCAGAATTTCAGACTTGCTAGATTCTTATTATGAGTCAAGGAAGATTATCTTTTTGCGTAGTATTTAAATAAGGTCATATACATCTAAGAGTCCATGACCGGTTTTTCTCTTTTCCCGACCCTCAGATTTCGTGCATCAGAAGTATCATGTATCATGATAAGTAAGTTTTTCCTCTCCTTTATCCTAGGTTCTTTGTCTTGCTCACAAGCCAACCTCCATTAATGAATTTAGGAACAAGAAGGCACCCCTTGATGCTTTTGCAGGTCCAGGTCTATGATGAAATTTGCTATTTAATCGCAAAAAATTGCTCAATAAAATACCGTAATTAATGCGTGATTTTCTTTTGTGTTTGTTGAGCTAAGGTTGAACAAAAAAATATGGCATAATGGCAGTGATGAAAAAGGACTGTATCATTGATAAAGAACTTAAAAGAATATGGACACATCATCGAACAATTGTTGATCAACAACAAAGAGATCTTAAGGTGAGACATAAAAACTAATCCCGTGTCTACTGAACCCTTTTCCAAAAAATAGACCGAAAATTTTCATGAAATTGACCTTTGTTGAAATTTATTGTAGGAGCTCAAGAAAACTCTTTATACTACAAAAGCATGATTTTATTGTCGGCTACAACACGAAACTCTTCTTTATTTGGAACCACTGAGAAATTTTTTATGATGTGTATCATTCCTTCCTTTATTTTGGGTCGTAATGTATGAACATATCCACTTCTTATAGATGCATGAACATAATTACTCTGAAACCACAAAAAAGTATCATTAGATTTTTTCATAAAATAGGTGCATTTGAAATTTGAAATTTAAATAGAAATACCTCTTCATCAATTAGAACCATGTCTAAACAAATTAAGCTGCCTTGCCTTTTGTGATTGATGACATCACAGAGGCGCGTAACACGAACTTTGATTGTCCAGTCGGACTTGGATGTATCGAGTTGACGTATTAGAGAATAATTTCTGCATTTTATGAAATATTAATCAATCAGGTATAATGCATAATATCATATATCATAAACATGTGAATGGTAAAGTATCATATGTACATAGTATTCAATAATGTATCATTAAAAATGCTGTAGAAACTTACTGTGATGACATTCTTGATATAAGAACACTAAACAATATAATTCTTCAAACAAATGGGAAAGTCAATAGTGAAAATACACTTTAGCTTACATTCGGTTTCTTTTTATAATAGTGAAATCCAGTATGCTTTTTGTTTCCTAAAGATTGTTAACGTAAAATACACTAAAGATTTTTGTTTCTAAGTTCTAAATGTAGAAACATAAAATACAGCCTAACATAAAATATAGCCTAACGTAGGCTTTTTGTTTCCTAAAATGTAGCCTAAAGATCAGATTGCGTCCTGATATAATATTATGTATCATAAATAAACATAAAATTTAGAAACGTAATAGAAAGTAATTACAACGTAATAGAAAGTAATTAATTAATTAATTAATATGATGACATGGCAGAGTTATGTGGCACTCCCTATGCTCTTAAAAAGTTCCTCTTTTATATATATATATTGATTTTTTTAATTGTGTGCAATAACACACGGAGTATTATTTTTTAAAAGATAGTCTCTACTAGATGTATAACTATTTCATTTAAAGTTGTTTTTACTTGGACTATTTTCAATCTCAAATAGATTCATACCAGTTTAGGCCAAACCACATCAGATAAGATCAAACTAGACTATACCACACTTGGACAATTATGAAATATATAGAGACCAGACATTATCAAGTCAGACCAATTCAGACCAAACTATATGAGATCTGACTAGAAAATCTTATTCTAATTAAAACCATCCTAAATCATAAATTAAAATAAATTCAATGAATTTAAATCACCACATCATATAAAATAATTAATAGCATTCCAATAAGTTAAATAACATTATCTATCATTTATATATAATATAAAGTAATACATGGCTTTAGAGTTTAAACAAATAAATAACACAACCACCATACAGATGATTAACCCAACGACCAACCTAATTTATTAAAATGCCGAGTGCAACACTCCAACTTCAAAATTCAGATTTAATTAAAAATAAAGTGATAAAATGTGGCTGATCTCGTTGTCCTCTTCCCTTCCTTGTATCCCCGTTCACGGCTAACCTCTTGAATGATTTTGAATTCTCTAATTGTCAAATTTGAATTTGAGTGATTCCAGAGTCTCAATTTAAGCTACTCAATCACAAATCCTCAAATTTAAGCTTAGTCAATCGTCAAGTGAGTTTGGGTGATTCCAGAATCTGAATTTCAGATTTTTAGCTTTGGGCGGTGACAGCCAAACGGTTGGTTGGGGACAATCATTTTTTTAATGGGGGCAAATGCTTAAACTTTTAATATTTACTAAATAATTAGATGGGTTTATTGGGATTTTGTTGGGGGAAGCTGCCCCCATACCTTCCTTATTAGATCCGTCCCTGAGTGCTAGGGCTGCCGTTAGTGACATAGGGGGAGGGGTTGATGGCTTGTAGGTTAATTCATTGGCTAAAGAAGGTATTTGTAGGTTAGTCATGGCTCTTTGGGCTATTTGGAAGGGGAGAAATGAGGTTGTATGGAAGGAAGGTTTGTTTTGTTTGGAAAATGTGAAATGTGTTGCTACTACAGTACTGGAGAGCTGTAGGAAAGCTCAGGAAGTGATCAGCAGGCTGTTTTTTACAACATTGGCAGAAACCAGAGATGGATTGGATAAAAATTAATGTAGATGCGGTTAGTAATGCTAAAAGCGAAAGGTGGGCATGTGGATGCATTGGAAGAGATAGTAGTGGTAATTTTTTGGGTGTTATTTGCCGGGTTGTGAACGCCACTTGGTCACCAATAGAAGCAAAGGCTATCAGAGTCAAAGAAGCTTTTATTTGAAGCTAGAGTTTGCTACTTGCACCTTTGCACGGGTGAAGTGATAATCAAGGAAGACCTGGTTCGTGCTTCCATGTTGATTTCAACGTCACTTGATTTTACGGCGGTTGTACACACGCCTAGATGCAGTTTGGGACGTGATGCTGGTAGGGGAATACCACTCATCCCTCTACAACGGTTGGACAACGGCTTGGAATTTCATGTTACCTCCTAAAGTGAAGATTTTTTTTTAGAAGTTCTAAAGCGCAGGAGGGTTTCGATATTAGGAATTTGTTCGCTCTGCAAGTTGAAGGAGGAATCGGCTAGTAATTTTTTGGGTGCTATTAGTCAGGTTGTAAACGTCATTTGGTCACCAGTAGAAGCAAATGCTATGAGAGTCAAAGAAGCTTTTATTTCGGCAATTAAAATGGGATGACATAGGGTGGTGGTCGAGTGTGATGTAGAATTGGTGGTAGCGGAAGTTCAAGGAGAGACATGTCATTCTGTTGTGGGAGTTATTTTCGAAGACATTAAGTATTTGACAAAGAGAAATGACAATTATAAAATTGTTTGGTGTAGACGGTCAATGACTAAGGTAGCTCAATGAGTTAGAGCAGCTGTTTTCATCTATGGTGCACAGATACTTCACCTCAACGACGTATCCGCGTATCTGATACATATCTGATACCGATACTCATCGATACGCTTCATGTGCGTATTGAATCCGTATCCGTAATTTAATAAAAGTATTTGACTTATCAGATATGCGTATTGAATCCGTACCCGTATTCGTGAACCGATACACGTATCTAACCCTATAACCCTGATTTCATACATGACATGACAAAAATTTAGTAGCCGCCCAAGTGACCACAAGATATGGAACATTATTAAAAATTTCGGGAGTATAAAAAACATTGGAATGCTATAATTTGCCAATTTGTCGCTTGATGAGCATTAATTGAAATCAGTGTTGTTAAAACACTTAGATGTAAATGCAAATAAAGAACCAAAAATATTATTTGAATTTAAATCAAAATATTAGTACTTTAGCTTTTTTAGTCTAATCTTTGAAATTTTATTATAATTGTTAATTTTTGATACTGTTATTATTTTATTTATGAACCTTTGAAATATATATATATATATATATATTTGAAAATTATACCATATATTATTATTTATAAATATACCCCCCGTACATGTATCCTATAATTTTTGAAGTTACCGTATCGCCGTACCCATATTCGCGTATCGACGTATCCGTATTCGTGCAACATAGGTTTTCATAAATTATTTGATAAATAGGAATGCTTGATGTATCCCAAATTTGTACACGGCCTATGTACACACAGACATTTTGATAGAAAATTCTATCATTTTTCAAACAAATTACATGTGTACACCACCGACAACTAGGGAATATGTGTACAAATTGGGTACAAATTGGGGGGTCCTATAGCATTTATGTTTGACAAATGACAAATCATAAATGATCTTTTACTATAGTGGGTGTTTTTGTTCTGGGAAAAGGGCAAATAAGCCCTCGAACTAACCGAAAAGTGCAAATCACTTCTTTTATAGGAGGTTCTGTTCGGCCGTCGTCATTTGGGGTGGTTACCGGTGGAATTTTTTGACGATTTTTTTTAGCATCTTCTTCATTAACTCTAGTTTACGCACACTAAATTTCAGCTAAAAATGCAATTGGGAAGGCAGCCAAATAATTGTTTGAAGATAACTGCGCAGTTAAACAACGCAGTATATTTCAGAAAATCATTTGACTGCCTTCTTGGCTGAATTTTTAGTTGAAATTTGGTATTTGTAAACTAGATTTAATGTTCACTAAGATGGTCAAAAAAATTAATCAAAAAATTCCATCGAGAACATACTCAAATGGTGATGGCAGGACAAAGCCTCCTATAAGGGGGTGATTTGCACTTTTCGGTTAGTTGTACAGCTTATTTATTAAGACCATCGTGTTTACCGGTGTCGTATATCTCAACGGAGCAAAAACGAAAACAAATGGTGTTGTCTAAAAAGAGAGGGATCTCGTAAGAATTGAAGGGTGAGAGAAGAGATGGTGTTCAACGGCCCACTGGTGGTGGGGGTGGCAAATGTTTCGGCGGATTTGTGCCAATACATCGCATGCAACCCTGAGAGGCTTAGCCGCGACCAACTCCTCTTTCTCCTCTTCTCCTTCCCTTGCCGCCACCTTCGCCGCCTCGCCCTCTCCCTCTGCTCCTGCTTCTGCTTCCCTCTCCCTTATCATCCTTCATCTTCCTCCTCCGATCCCGCCTCCGATTCTGATCTCCCGGATTCGCATCCACATATCCATTGATCTCACAGATGCCCCCTAAATCTGATCCTAATATTTGATTTCTGATGACGTCTCTCTTTCTGTAACCTTATGTACATTAACGTATATATGATATCTATTTTGTAATCTCTCTATCTGGTCAGTGCATCAATTATTTCTTGCGGAGCTGTTGATGATTGTGTTTGTGAAATTGATGGGGAATGATTTCCCTAGTTGAAGAGAAGGCTTGAGGTGTATGCAGGTTTTGTTCATATTATTCCTCGGATTTGTACATTAGGGTTTAATGCACCAAAGAACCCCTTTTATGAATAAATTCAATTGTCAAATAAAAGAAAAATGATTAACATTTTTGTATGATTTAGAGATTTTGACATATTTACTTGCATATTCAATCAAAATATTAGGAAAAGTGGTTTTCAAATCGTTAAATTTATTCATAAAAGAGATCATGTGCTTGATTAATTAAAACACAAGGGGGTTTGGTGCAATTATTACTTGCATTTAACCCGTATTTTTTAATAATACGGGTGCATTTAATAAATCTAGTGATTAATTAAAATTAATTACTTGCATTTTTTAAAGAGATCATGTGCTATCTATTGACTTGTTGTTAAGCTTTCCCGTACTTGCTCTTGATTAACCAATCACTTCAGTGTAGCTCAAACAATAACTACATAAGAAAAGGGGGAAATATGAGTACACACTTTCTTAGAAAACTTTTGCATTGTCGCATTTCAATTGACCCTGAAAGTTTGAGAATGTAAAGCATGAAATATCTTCTTAGTATTACATACTAGTATATCATGGCTCCAGTTAGGGGTACCCAAGCCCCAACATGGGTATGTTTGACCTTGATAAGAATTCACGAACTCGAGCTCCATCTCGAGCCAGGACGAGTTAAATAATTCGAGCTCAAACTCGAGCCGAGCTCGGCTCGAGCTCACTTCGAACTCACTTTGAGCTCGGGTCAAGTTTCGCTAATTAATTTTTATAGGTATGAACTTGAATAAGATGCTCGAACTCGAGCTAAAAATATAATATGTGCATTTATTCATTATCATTATTAGTTTATCTTTCCTTTACTGACATTTTTATTCTTTATTTTTCTGTCAATAAATATTACGGGTACATGTTATAGTTATTACAAATTAGGGAGAACTACCAAATAAGCTCTCGAACTTTCATAAAAAGTGCAAATAAGCCCTTTTATAGGAGGCTCTGTCCGGCCGTTGCCATTTGGGGTGGTTTCCGGTGGTATTTTTTAATGAAACTTTTTGAGCATCTTTTTCATTAAGTCTAGTTTACTCATACCAAATTTCAGCTAAAAATTCAATCGGGAAGACAGTCAAATGAATTTTTGAAGATAATTGCGCAGTTAGACAGCGCAGTATATTTCAGAAAATCATTTGACTGCCTTCTCGATTGAATTTTTAGCTGAAATTTGGTATGGCTAAACTAGACTTAATGAAGAAGATTCTCAAAAAAATTCATCAAAAAATTCCATCGGAAACCGTCTCAAATGGCGACAGCCGGACAAAGCTTCCTATAAAAGGGCTTATTTGCACTTTTTATGAAAGTTTGAGGGCTTATTTGATAGTTCTCCCTACAAATTATTATTATTATAATAATACTAAATACATGTTATTATATTTGCAATTATTACTATTATAATATACCGTGTGATAAGTATTGAAAATGGAATAGTCCTGAATTAGAATACATATTCCCAAAAAAGTATATATATAATTATTATATAAATATGACACAAAGGCTCGTGAACCGACTCACGAGCCACGAGTCTAAAATGAATGAAAAATGCTTGGTTTACGCATTTTGGTGTACACTTTTCGTACACTCGTCTGTCTCACACATACAGAATTGTCTGTCCACAGACAAATCTGCAGAGTGTACGAAAGGTGTAAACCAATATGTGTACACCCAACGGCCAGCACAACCCAAAATGAATAGGCTTGAATTGAGTTTGTTAACTATTCGAGTCGAGCCGAACTCGAGTTTAGCTTAATATGACCGAACTCGAGTCGAGCTTTTCTCGAGCGAACCATGTGCAGCTCGTGAGTGGCTTGACTCATTTACACCCCTAGCTCCAATAGCTCATTATAAGTCAAAAGTTATGATTCGTTAAAATCAACATCATCTAAACTTGAAATGGATAAAAGTTGGTTTGTAATTCACTATTAGTTACATTCTTAAATTTTAAAAATAGTGTCCTATTCATTCCCTAATTATGTGAAGTCTATAATTTATTACATATATATATCAAACCAATTTTGTAGGACTCATTTATACTAGTGTCTATTCCACCTATATATGAATTATTCAATTCAAATTTTGTCTCAAAATGATTCGACGATTTGATATTGTATATGGGTAAGTTCTTATCGCTCTACTACCAGGGGCGAAAACATGGGTATTGAAATCACTACAAATCTTGGAAAGTTTCTGGGAGCATCAATCATCCATAAATGCAAATCCAAAGCTCTTTATGGCTACATCCTTAATAATATCAAGAAGAGACTTGCTGGTTGGAAACAAAAATGCTTAAGCATTGTTGGACGATGTACCCTTATCCAAACCACTTTATCGACTGTGCCGCTTCACACCATGCAAAGCATGCTTCTACTTACAAGCACTTGTGCAGAGATAGACAAAGCGAGCAGGACTTTCCTTTGGGGTGATGATGATATCACACACAAAAATTCACCTAGTGTCTTGGGAAGAGGTTTGTATCCCCAAAAAGGAGGGAGGATTGGGATTGCGAATGGCTAGAGATATGAACATCACATTGACAGCAAAACTAGCATGGGAGCTCCTCCAAAACAGACCAAAACTCTGAGTGTCGATCATGGCTGAACAATACATGCGCACCACTGGTTTTTGGAATGTCGAACTCAAACCAGCATCTCACATGTGGCGAAGCATCATCCGTTCAAGACATGTTATATCAAATGGGATAAACTGGAAAATCGGGAATGGGAAAACTACCAAATTTTGGACAGACATTTGGGTGGGAGAGGAACCGCTGCACAACACTGTTGATTCACACCCCCTGGAAGCTATGGAAACCAGTGGCGGATTTCTTCTCACCTCAAAGAACATGGGACATTGATGCCCTTGAATGAGCTGTAGGCACTGATATGGTAGAAATGGTGTGTGACGTCCCTATTCTAGTAAACCAAAATCGTGAAGACCGCATTGTTTCGAGATTGTCTAACTCTGGTCGGTTTACAGTAAAACCGACGCTCTTTCATGAAAACATGGAAACAGATGCAAATTGGATTTGGAAAGTTAGAGTAATTGAACGAGTGAAAGTCTTCATCTGGTTGGTCTGGAAAAGAAAATACTCACCAACCTTGAGAGAGCTCATAGGCACCTGACAGAGGACTTTTACTGTCCAATTTGCAAAGATGATGAAGAATCCACCACACCTCCTCGGAGACTGAATTGGCTAGAGGTTGCTGGACTCGAATGGAAGTACACCCTAGGAGATGTCTGGAAATTTTCAGTGATGTTGGGGATTAGTTGAAATACAACTGCACTGGAAAGGAGGGCAAAGGGTCCGAATGGGAAACAAGATTCGTATACCAAATCTGGAACATTTGGAAGGCACGAAATGGAATTGTTTTCAATAATAGACGACATGCTCCTGGTGTTATCTACAAGTTAGCATCCTCCCAAGCCAATGAAGCATACCTCCACCTTCGAAATGATAATGTCATTCAACCCAAGTTATCTAGACTTGTGAAATGGAATCCTCCGTGTGTGGGCTCTCTCAAAATTAACACAGATAGGTCCTTCAAGAAAGGTGGTGTTGGAGCAAGCATTGGAGGTGTGTTTCGCTGCTGAAAGGGGGAATCGGTCATGGGGTTCCTCCTTAACGTGGGACATACAAACAGCTGCCATGCCGAAGTATGGGGCCTGAGACAAGGTCTTTTTGGCCAAATAAAATGGGTGAATTAACACGGGAGTTGAAATGGACTCTGAAGCAGCAATTCTAGCAGTGACAATGTCAACATGGAGGGATAATAAAGAGAGTTGCACCCTTGTAGAAGACTGTAGGGAACTCATGCAAGACCGTGCGGGCATTACTTTGCAGCATACTTTGCGAGAGGGTAATAGGTGCGCAGACTTTCTAGGAAATTTGGCACACTCCGTACCCAGGGGGATCATAATCCTATTACATCCGCCCCATGGGCTAACACAAATACTTTGGGAAGATGCCAACGGTTTAGAGATTGTTAGACTGTAGCTTGATTTTTATTTATTTTCCGATGTACCAAAAAAAACTCAACATTACAACAACCTTTTTTTTATTTTATCTGTGCATGGTGGTGTATATATCACTTTTTAGTGGGAAATTTTAGTGGGGATACATGGGCATAAGAACTTACCCATGACTCCGTCCCTGGAAGTAGAGAGATAAGAACTTACCCATGTATACTATCAAATTGTCGAATCGTTTTGAGATGAAATTTTAATTGAATAATTCATATATAGGTGGAATAGACACTACTATAAATGAGTCCTAGAAAATTGGTATGATATAAGTAATAAATTATTGACTTCACATAATTAGGGAATGAATAGAACCTTAATTTTAAAATTTAAGAATGTAACTAATACTGAATTACGAATCAAATTTTATCCATTTCAAGTTTAGATTATGCTGATTTTAACGAATCATAACTTTTGACTTATAATGAGCTACTGGAGCCATAATATATATAATAGAAGATGTTTCATGTTTTACATTCTCAAACTTTCAGGGTCAACTGATCACCCTTACCCCTTGACATGTGCGTCTCAAACTGAAATGCGACAGTGCAAAAGTTTTCTAAGAAAGTGTACTCATATTTCCCCCTTTTCTTATGTAGTTATTGATTGGTTAATCAAGAGCTTAAGTCCGAGAAAGCTTAACAAAAAGTCAATATATCGCAATGTTTGCACCATTCTGAATAACAACAATGAAACATAGAGGACTTCTGGGATGCTTTTATTTTAATAATTTTGCTTCGCACTTCAGTCAATTGGCAATAATGTTTGGATACATGACCCTTTACATGTATGACCTATTGCTCATGCTATTTGGGGTCCTCATTTTGGTCAACCGGTTGTGGAAGTTATGTTGAACGATGCCCTCGAGTCAAGCACAATTACATGATTTTGAGAAATATGAAGAGGGGCTTTGTTGATTGAAATTATTAGCACATTGACAATATTAGCGCATCTCAATGACAATGGGGCACTCCATGATTTTTTCATGGGCAAGAGGGACTTTGTTGATTGAAATTATAGATTTTGAGAAGATAGTTTATAAGTTTTGTACATACCAATTAAAGATTTCAAGATCATGAATAAATTAAAAGATATCAATCTTTAACATATTTAAGCACCTCATTTCACCATTCATCTATCGTCCATTCCATTAGTTGATTAAAAGTTTTCATATTTGTTGTTTCTACTTTTGCAGTGTTCTTCTGGACGTAACGGGACTCACACGTAATGAAAATCATGCTCTAGTTGCCTTAACCGGAGTCAAAAATATAATAATGATATGGTACTTATAAGAATTGAAAAAATAACTTATGTTAAATTGTAGTTAACGTGTAGGTGAATCTCGATGCCTTGGTAACTTTATCAGATATTCATACAATCAATCAACAAATCATTACACTTGGATAATTCAAATGGATATGGGGGATTTTCTCAATCCCTACAATCCAAAGTCCCACGTTTCTCGCAAGTGAAAACCAATCTCCAAGTCCATCACGCTTTTTACAACAGGCCTGGCATCGCCCCCAAACTTAGGACTTTACTTTTTTCCCATTAAACATTTTCTAAGTACAAAAGAGTGGGGAAATGTAAGTGGGGGACTCGGCCAAACAACAAATTTACGTAGAAAATCAAAGTGAACCTCTGACAAATTCCAACATCCTTGGCATCTTTAACCACGTCAGGTATTACTATTAAATCTGCTTTCCAATTATTACTCAAATGTTTTTGTCAACTCTCTTTTACGATCGTGGAAGTAGAAACTAACCTCTAGGAACAGGAGACGAAGTTCACCACGAGCTCTGGTAACAACGCTCGGTCTAGAAAAGGACTGCGGGCTAAGATCACTCATCTTGGGTGGTACCCTTTTTCCTCCGTTAGGATTTCTTCTCTAGAAGTCTTTCCGAGGCGGATGGAACTTTTTTCCTCCGTTAGGATTTCTTCTCTTGAAATCATTCTGAGGCGGATGATACCTTTTTTTCCTCCGTTAGGATTTTTTCCCACTGGATTTTTCCTCAACAGAGTTTTTAATGAGACGCCTTTCGATATGACTATGGTAAAGAAAAATTGGTTGGGTTTGATTTTTTTGGATACCCTATATCCGGTCATTTCGACGTGCGACATAGTGTGTTGGGGTTCAATTCAAAGGGTTGAGTGACGATATCAGCGCATCTACTTAATCGGGATGATGTAGCAAAACGCTTTATCATACGAGTCCATGGATAACATTTTGAGAGAGATGGGTGATGAAAATTGCAAGTGATGATGGTTCAAGCGAGAGAAGGAATGAAAAAAGTGGGAGAGAAGAGACAAATGTTTAGAAGAGATGGGAGATGAAGGGTTTACTCCTCCGGTCCAAGAGGAACACCTAGAAGGCTTTACACAGGTCAAAAAAGAAGAAACAAAAACATGAACTTCACAACAAATGAAGCTACAGAAGAAGCACATCAGTACTACCACGCGGGTTATAGCTCACATCCCATGATCACCAGAAGCCTCTTCAAGAAACCACTAAATGAGATGGATTGTTTCCTCTACCCGGTAGACGAGTGATTTGACTCCCCACAAAAATTGGCGGCAGCTCTCAAGCGTTTCAAATCTTCTCATCCGAAGGTAATAATTTTCCATCCCTATCTTCAGAAGGCTATCAAGTTCCATCATAGATATAGCAGATTCATCTCTGCATCAGTTGAGATTCTAGTTAAAAATGTCAACTGTTAATGTAATTTTATTTTCCTACTTACTTTATTTCTCTTGTACTCTCAACTTTCATTTAATAAAATAGGGAGGTGTCCCCGACACCCCCTCCCCCCACCTCTTGTGGTTTGAACTGGGGAAAAAATGAGAGATGAAGGGTTGGATTGAGGGAGATGAAATGGGAGATGAGAAATGGAAGACCATGTGAGAAGGCCAGAAGGGGCGTATAAAATGGTAGAGAAGAGACATGGATGAATTTTAGGGAATGTTTGTAACATATAGAATTAATAATGGAAATTAAAAATTTGAGATGAGCTGAATGTTCATACCAAATACGAAGTATAGCTTAAATCAATAATCAATCACATTTGAACGGTTTTTTCTGGTATGGACGGGATGTGTTCGGTCCTACTGTCTACACCTTGACATTCACTGCACCTTTTTAGTTTACATTACTTAACCCCAAAAATAACCTCATGCTTAAAAGCCTTGAGAATGAATGTTGGTCCATATATAATGATATGATCAAACTATGTGAATACAATCTACCATTTCATCATGTGCTCGGGCCACAAAGTAGGCTCCATTAAGTTAGTAGCCCTAACCTGCCCTTGTTCTAAAATCTTGAACTCAATCGAGTTGTCGAGGGGCATAGCTTAGTTGGTAAGAAAAGGGTGTTACAAAGGAAAGATCATAGGTTTAATTCCAAACAAAGACTTGTCATAGGATTTCAGGGATGGGATGTCATCCACCATTGAATTCAATTGAGCCCATAGTCAAGGTTCACAAATAGAATTTAACTAGTGTTTTACACGGGCGTTGCCCCAGGCGAATGTTGTGAAAGTATGAATACTTTGTAAGATATATTTTATAGAATATATAAATAATTTGTCATTTTAATTCAAACAAATGTTCGCTAATTGTGGATAGAAATTTAATTAAAGATAATATATTAAAAAGTAACATTGTAATGTAACACTACACAAACCAAACATCGCACTGTTAAGTTTTGGGAAACCTCCTTATAAACAATATTCACTGTCTTGGTGAATAAATTTGCTTCTTTTGAAAGTATGACTTTTAAGATGTCTTTACTCATTACTCTTGGTATTGCAATGCACAATTGGTCATTAATGAAACTTATCTCTCAAGCTATAAATCAGACTTTATGTGATAACATTTAAGTCTTGACTTTTATTGATTGTCATTGCCAAGTTTACCATCACAGGAAACTGCATGCTTTCTTCGGAAATTGAACAAAGTTGTCATATTGTGAAAATGAAATTCTCAATGTGTAAACTTTATCATTCACATCTTTTCGAGTTATGACTTCTCATATATACTTGTTTTTCGAATATGGTTATCACCAATCATGTTCTATTGAATAAAACTTATGCATGATTAATATTCTTCAATAATATTTTTAGGGTTCCGATATTCAAATGGATGACATGGTTGGGCAATCCAACCATTGAACATATCAACATGGAAGGTAGTACCTGTGAGCGAATGAATAATATTAATTGAACTAATATATGTAACTCATAAACCATCGATCAACTATAGCATGTAGTTACTCATGATGTTTCTCAGTGTAAGGTCTAAAATCTTAAAACAAACCTCGTGAATCATCATAGCTTCATCCCATATAATCAAAGATGTGACATGCAATAGTTTTGCCTTCACACTTCCTTGATGAATATTGAAGGTAGTGCAACAATATTTATGGAAATAGGATATCAAATGATGAGTTAAAATTAGCTTTAAAAGTATATATGACCACTAATTACTTGCACCGTGCATTTTTTACAAAATTTTATATCTTAATGTGCTTGTGTAATTCCATTTATTGAAATAGAATGACACAAAATCAATATATGTACTATCTTTGTCCCTATATAATTTCAATGTTTTGATTTTGACACTAATCACATGTCTTACTTTGACTATATTTTATTTATTAATGTATTAAACATTTTTGAAAAATATTGTTCAATTCCTCTCAATTTAAATTATCAATTTTTTTTTAATTTTTTTTACTTATACCAAATTATATACTGTATATTAATAATCAAAGTAGCGTGCTGACAATCAAATGGAAGTGTTGTAACTAACAAAGAACGGATGAAATACTACGTATATGATAATGAAACTTTTCGGAAGCATACAGTGTGCCATGTCATTATTATATATTTCTAATTAATTCAATTAATATTTTAATATGTATTAGGAAATACTAATCCCATATTTTTAGGAAGAATATAAAAGTATAGATAAATACTCACTATGTCTCGTAAAGGTTCGCCAAATTGACTTTTCTTAGTCAATTGTAATCAACTTTTACTAATGATATCTTTTAATACGAAATCATTTAGAATATGAAAATTATATCATAATATTCATTATTCAAAATATTTTATGGCAAGATAATGTTTATTATATCAATTACTCGTATTTAATTTCTTGAAATTTCTTTGTACATTCAATGATCTCATTAATTATGTGTAA